TCCGTAAAACATCAATTTCTGAAGCAGACACCAGCGATGGATTGCCTATTTTGGTTCAACACATTTTATACACAGCACAGGCTTTCACCCTGTCGATGTGCAAAACATATGAACCTTTTTGTCAGGCTGCTGTTTTGTTTGTGAGGGCCGCTGAGAGGGTCTGGGAGAGGGTCAATGCATAATTCCTTAGTGATTGAGTGTTTTCGCAGAGGGTCAACACATTCTATAAGCAGCGGGCTCCGCCATGCTGAAGTTGGCGTGTAGCGTCTTGACATTCTATAAATCCAGCGGTTTAACATTTTATAGTGAACTTTAGGTGGTTGTGCATTTTATAGCGCCTATTCTTTACGAAATGAACATCCACAGCCAGCTCCGGGGTTTTTGTGGCATCCTTCCACCGGCAGTGGCCCTCAGCGTTTGCGCACCCAGGTGGTGCAACGTCTCGGGCTGCTTGCGCTTTCCCCGTGGCCTGGTGGATGCCAGCGATGCCCTGGGACCTGCCGGGCACCGCTGCGACCGGCACGGCTGCGGGTGTCGGGTCGCCGGCTGCGACTCGGCACCGCGGTGATCCCCAGCGGGGTGGATCCAATCGGAGGACTTTTGATATCTTAAAAAGTGAATGTTGTTTTTCTTCAACTCTCCAGTAACTATTTGATTATATACTTATCTCGCAGCACTTTCCCAGCTGATAGCTATATATATTGAAACCTATTTGTGCACTAGATTGATGTAACTGGATGTCCGATGTCCCAGGAACCGTCTGACATTCTCTGGTCGGTCCCCTCGATCGAAACCAGGGCTTGAGATGGAAAAGATAAGGGTGAATATTTGTGTGTGCATTTTTGAGATGGAGGTGAGAACAGTGAATTTCCCATTGTTTCTGTTTGGTAGATCATGATTTAGTATATTTAGATGTCTTGATTGCATGTGACATGGAAAGCTATAGAATATTGTCTTGCGAAGATGACCTATACAAACAGCGTGGAACGGGCATCATGTAACAAAAAACATGGATTCGCAATTTATTTAACCATATATAATCATTAATCCATGATGTCAGCCACTGCCTGGACCAATTTCTCGAGAACACCTGGATTAATTTGGAAGTTGATCCAGGGTTCCTGCACCGGGGGGGCATCCTTTTCCTTGTCATGAGACATGCAAATCAATCCGGGAGAGTGTCAACGAACAACTCTTGGTGTCGACTGAGTCTAGTCTAAAGCCGTTGTCAATGCGCAACTTTCGATGGCCATGCGCAACGCCGCACACAGGTTCCAACGCCCCTTGGGGCCATGGTGCGCTGGGCCGAGCCTGTTGGCTTCACGGCGGCACCCGCTGCACGGCGCGGGAGCACATGGGTGAAAGCTGCGTTCGTCCGCCCCGGCGGCGGGTGGCGCAGGGAGATGAACATGGCCAGTTGGTGGCAATGGGATGGGAGTAGTATGGCTGCCCTGAGCTTGGATCTTTCGAGAGGACGAGTGGGATGGGAATGCAGATGCTACATGATGTTACTGGGAACGGGGTGATTTTCGGGGTTCAACAACGCCGATGGGCCAAGAGCCATGCGGGTTTGTTCGGAAGAGATGGGCCTTTCGCGTGCTTTGGGGTGATTCCGGCGCACCTGCCTTCCGCCTTCTATTCTATACAATCGCATGGATGGGATTGAGCAATTGCACTCCCAGTTGGCAAGAAGCCTTGATCGATATATATATATATATATGTATGGGGTCAGAATTTGGGATATTTGGGCACATTGTGAAGGGCAGGAAGTTGAGGTGAGATTCCAACTCCTCAATGATCCACTACCGACCCACGAGGATGTGATGTTTTCCAAGAGATGCATTCAACATATGCCTCTTGCGCATTCATGTTGCTTGAAACCCTTCCCGCTCCAACGCCCTTTTTTAGGTAAGCGCATGACTTTCTTCATTTCTATAAGCAAAGTAGGAGCATGACTTTCTCAAGAGCTCCTGCTCTTTAAAGTATGACTTTCCTGCTCAGAAGATCTCAGCTCGACGCCTCAGGGCCCCCGGGCGCCCGCTGCGACCTGCACAGTGGGACCACGCGTGGAACCGCGCGGTGCTTCGGTCCGCACCGGGTGCGGTCACAGCCGGAGACGGTGAAGCCGGAGACGGCAAAGGAGCAGTGTATGGCGATCCGTGCCTGGGATTTGGCGGCAGAGGGTTGATAGGGGGTTGGAAGTTGTTCTTTGGGGGGGGGAGAGGGGGGTGCAGGGTGTTGTTTCCTAGAAATTGGTGGAAGGAACAGGTGTTCCAAATTGTTCGGATAGGTTTTCTCCTTCTTCTTCGTGCTGCCTGAAGTGTAAATGTTTTTTTGTTTCACGCACGCTTGGAACAGAGAAGGTGGACAAAGTGTCCTCGGTGAGAAAAAACAATGCACATATTACATTGTTTTTGTCATTCACACTTGATCTTGGGTTCTGAAGCCTCTTGGCCTCTGGTTGAGAGCCGCCATAGACTTAGAGGAGGATGCTGTTTGCCTCTAAGCATGGAACTGGAGCAGGTTCACTTTGCAATGCAAAGGCGCCTGTTTTTCTCACTGGAAGACCCTGTGCGTTGAATGGTGCCGAAAGATGTCGAATTGAATGACTGCAATACCTTGCAAGGTCTTGGCTACTGCAACAATGTTGCCGAGCTTCCTTTAGTCAGTCGAGGTCACTACAGGGGGAAGCGTGGCCAGAAGAAGCTTTGGCGCTGTGGGAAGGAGAAGTGTGGCAGCTCCAGGTATTGTTTGCATCATGAAGCCGCCATCCGCGAGCGAATACGGAAGGAGCGACCGACCAGTGGGGCGTTGATTTGGATGATTTGCAGACCTTCTTTTTAAACACCTTGTATGAATTGATATTAATTGTCTTTTCAATGTTTTTCTTTTTCAATTTTTTCAGGGATGAGTTCAGTTTTTTGTGCACTACAGGCTGCAAGTATTTGTCAGTGATCACGACAATCGCGGGCAGAATATGTGTATGTATGTATGTATCTATGTATGTATGGATGTACGTATGTAATGTAATGTAATGTAATGTAATGTAATGTAATGTATGTATGTAATGTATGTAATGTAATGTATGTAATGTAATGTAATGTAATGTAATGTAATGTAGTGTAATGTAATGTAATGTAATGTAATGTAATGTAATGTAATGTATATAATGTATGTAATGTAATGTAATGTAATGTAATGTAATGTAATGTAATGTAATGTAATGTAATGCAATGTAATGTAATGTAATGTAATGTAATGGTATGTATGTATGTATGTATGCATGTATGTATGTATGTATGTTTTTAGGTATATATATATATATATTTTTTTCTCACTATATATACATATATATATATATCTTTCCGACTGCACATATTCCGGCTAAGTCCCCTCTTTGTGTGAACTGATTGGAATTTATGAGCGGGAGACGCAGATGCAGGCGAATTGGTAGGACTTGGCTAGGTGGCGGCTGTGTTTACTACTGAGCCCGTGCAAACGACAAAACTTCACTGTGAGGTTCAGAAAGATGACATGATTTTGCAGCTTCAAACAGGCAAGTTAGGGTTTGACGAGATATGACATGGGTGACAATATCATATGATTGTTTTGCTTGGGGAGCAGAATTCGATCCCCTGTTTAGAACTTCCTTGGAAAGATTCCAGTGCACCTGCAAACCAGAAAGCCGTAGGCAGATGGAGCAATCCCGTACCCAAAAAGACACAGTGGCCTCTATGTCAGTATGACTCTTTGGGTGTAGGTCATGCCTGGATAGACCCCTTTTGGGGGTCGTTTGAGACTTTTGCTGCGACCTCCCACCAGGACAGCGAGCGCAGGCGGGAGCGGCGGAAGCAGCTGAAGGACGCAAAGTGAGATGGCCACTGATTCCACTGAGGCCAGATGAACTGGATTTGCTTGGTCTTAGGTGTGCCTAGGTGACTAGCTGGTGGTTAGGACCAACAGGAGCCGGAATTAGTCATCAGGAGAACGGAAAACCAGTAAGCATCAATAAGCTACACAAGTTTCGAAACCACTAGCTAGTGTTGTGGCACCTTGGCTTGTAAACTAGGTGGGTTCTCATCCAGATCCCTTTGATTCAGTTTGGATCAGCCAACACTTATGTTTCACAGATGGACGAGCATGGCTTCATTCCGAAACACTGCGGCCTCGGTGTTTTCGCCGTCTCCTGGTTCTGACATTGGTGCGATTGTTTGTGTGGAAACACCTCCAGTTCCTGGAGCAACCTTGGTATGCAACAAACATACCATTTGTAGGCCAACAAACTTGTTTGTTGAAACCGGAGAATGTAACTTCTCCCATGGAATTGGTGGTCCAAGACTACCTCTCCGGGGAAACCCCATCATAACATCTCATGTTTCGTAAATATGTTTTTGTCCAGCATGGCACTTTTCCTTGTGCTTTGAACTATCGCACTTATTTTTTGGACTTGGGTGGTCCAGGATTATGGTAGACATGTGCCTGTTAGTGCATCTTTGATATGAAGGACGGTCTAAGAATTCGAAGGGGAACGTCTCAAGCATTCCCACTACATTACTGCCATCACAGACACCTTAGGCAAAGATCCTCGGAATGTCTCGGAATATCAAGGTTCTACTTGGTTGAATATTGGACGCCAACTCAAAGTGCAGGTAGAGACCCCCAACATGCGTAATTAGAACACCGCATGGGTGCTGCCGCTGGGGTGTCTCGAGAAAACTGTGCCAGTGCCAATAGAGTTTTACAGTTCCGCCCGGATGTATATGACTCTCCTGAGCCTTTGGCATGGGACCACCTGGTCTTTTTGTAGACTACGTACCCGAAAGTTTGGAGGACTTGGAGCATAAAGTTGTGGCATTCGTTCCAGTGCGATCACCCACCAGGGTTGGCAAGTTATAGGCTTGGAGGCTTCGGACGGACTCCCCTACCTTTTTAAAACTGCTTTCAGACATAGAATGGGTGTCACATGTTCTGAATTCCCTCTTTCGATCGTCTCCCCTGAGGATTTGGGTGGAGCTGGCAGGAGGTCAATGGGATCAGCAGAGCATGGGACTGCGGGTTGAACGGGGGCGGCAGGTGGGTTTGCATGTGTTTTGTTTCCTCTTGGATTGGCCGAGGTTGCTTCCCTCCTCGATGAAGTTTTTGGGTTGAGGGACGGTGAGGGACGGTTGGCAGTATACGACTTCCAGGTGAGCAAAGTATTGAAATTGATTGAACTTGTATTGAAGCGATGCCGGTACATGGATGCATTGTGCAATATTATGCAATAATGCAATATTATATGCTTAAGATCTGACTGGCTCCAAGTAGTATGGAATGGACAACTTTGCCCCACAAAGATCAGTTGCTGAAATTTTCAGGGCCAAGGCATCCTGCATGCGAAGGTGGCCTTCTCGAAAGATGGAAAGTGAACTCGAAAACCCATGTTGGGTGAGCAGGTGCGCTACTTGCAGTCACATGTTGTTACATCTTTCCCATTGGCACAGTTGCCTATCTAAAATATATCAACAACATTCAAAAACGAGGTTCTGGCCGCTCAAAACATCATAAACATCTCCAGGTGTTGAGAAAGCCCTACTCCACAAAACCCAGGTGGGGTCTGTGGCTTCACGCTGCTGCACTTTGCCGCCTTCGCGGGGAAGAGCAAGGCCTGTCAGACGCTGATCGACTTGGGGGTCCCTTGGAGTTGTGTCAGGCTCCGGGTTTTCCGCATGCGGCTCGGGTGGTTCGGGCTCCTGCGTGTGGTTTTTGGAAGCTGGCCATGTTTTGGTACTGCGTTTGGGAAAAAAGCTCCTATTCTGTGGAACCTTTCACGGTTTACAAAGTATGCGCTCAGGTCCCTGAGTAAATAGAAACTACATGCAACTACTTTTCTCCCAAGGGAAAGGATTCTGTCTTAGCTTTTTTATTCATCAGTACACTGTTGCCGTGTTGAAAGTCTTGGAGTCTTAGAGAAACTCTAATTCTGAACAGGCTGGTGCCGGTGCGTCGATGCTTTGGACGATGCAATCCGATCTTTTGGATGATGCAATTCGCAACTCTGCTTGGTATATCTTGGTATAAGTATAGATATGATAAAGCCAAAGCATCACTACGATCACACCAGCATGAGGATCAAGATGGATCAAGGCATGCTGTACCTCATCTAATCTCACTTGGCGAAAGTGATCATCCGCACTATCCCTTTCCGCAATGGGTTGGGGTTGCTTGTGCCCCAGACAAGGGTTGAAATAGATGAGCAATTTAGGGATCTGGGGTTTGGTCCAAAGCACTGTACCAGTTAGTCAAGGGTTGTCACTACCTTTGCTCGAGGCCAAAGGCCCCGACAGAACATCGATCAACCGCCTCCATCTATTCTCTTATAGATTGCGACTGCTGCTGAGCAGGGCGGACCCTCCAGTCTCAAGGCGCATCAACAACCTCTTGGCAAACCCAGCTGCATCTTTTAGGTCAACATTAACGCCAAGACCCAGCCGCTTTGTGTGACTCCCTCTCAGCTCCTTGGTCAGCCGCTCCGGTGATGTCGTGTGACCTGATGTGGGCTCCGGTGACGTCGTTGGGCGGTGCTCTGGGTCAACAATGGACACATGGACTTGTCTTCACAAATTAGGTGGTGCAACCCATATGAGCTGTGGGAATTGCAGGGTGTGCGGGTGATTCAATCTGATCCAGGAGTATTGAATGATATGAATATGATAGGCGCCTTTTGGTGACCTATGGGCCCAATACGATACATTTTCAAGAGTTAGATTCCAAGGCTGCTCCAAGCTTGGCCCATCCAAGTATGCGGAGGAGGACATGTCCTGGTAGCCTGATGTAGCCTGGTTCTGTTCAATTCTCAGTCGAGTGTCAAGGATCACGTTTGACCCCCGCCTGAGCTGATAGGGTGGGGTCTTGCTGATCCAATGAGATGCCAAGGGTTACCAGCACAGGCGACCTAACCGGTTCAGTGATGTATTGCTCTTTGGGAGGGCACTATTTAAGGAGAAAGGGTGGAGGGAGGGTGGAAGCCACCAAGGCAATTCTGCCGCCCCACGCCCTTGGACCTCACGATCTTCGTGGCCAACAAGCGTGCGAGGCGCGGGCCAGCAGCCTCCGAAGTGGAATCCGCCTCCGAAGTGGGTCGACTGGGCTCAGTGTAGTTTGTCTCTCGCGCGAGCACGCAGCGTTTCAGATCAGGGACCGGTTGGGAAACCCTTGAGTTCTGCAAACCTCCGGAGGAGCTCCCCTTGCATTGAAAGTATGGATGTCCAGATCAAGATAGATGAAGTGATCCATCGTAGCTGAGCTGTTTGAGAGGTTGACCAGGTGTTGTGTCGGCACGACAGCCAACGGCAGGGAACAGGTCCAACGTGTCCTACAAGCAGCAGATGCCAGCTACGGTGGTGTGAAGATGGAGCTGCAGCTGCAATTTGAGTATATTGAATTTGAATGTTCCGATTTAAGGTGTACCTGAAAAAGAGGTGAACAATCCAACATGAGCAAGGTGTAGCAAAGATAGCGAGATAGTAGGCAACATCTAGCTAGCTGCAGTTCTCAGAAACATTATGTGTGGTAGAGGAGGCTGATTTCAAGCACCTTTTGGTCGATTGCGAAGTTACGTCAGGTCAGAAAGGTGTCATGTCCCGAGTTCTGGGCAGTGCGCATGGCTTGCGCGACCTTTCAAAAAAACGATTTCTTGTTTGAAAGCACATCAGCTCAACGGGTTCTCGTGTCCCATTTCCTTTCACCGTGTTGTTGATGGAGGCCAATATATATAGTCAAAATGAATCACAATTTATCTCCATCAGATTCGAACCCCAACAGATTAACATATTGATGATGTCACCAAAAAAGCCACAGCCTATCCTAATTTCAAGACTTGCACCCCAGCGAACTACGGAGGGTGGTTACACCACCAATCACATATATATATATATATACCCTATAGCAACCATGCAGCTATCGCGTCGCAATGTCCTTATTTGCAGGCTATGTCCTGCCTCCTGTGTGTTTTTTAAAGCCACTTCTTGAGTGCCCAGTGATGGCCTCCGTCTCGCCTTTTTGCAGTGCTTTTTTTCAACATTCCTCAAAACCTGTGATCATAATTCTTTTGCTGTGTTCCCTGCTCAGCATTTTAGCATTTCTAAGCACCAAATATATACATCCAAATTACCACTTGCATTCACCCCTTTTCTGCACCCCTGAGTCACAAGAAATCCATACGACTTGTTGCGACTTTGCTGAGATCTGCCGTGGCACGGAGTCTTTCTTTCCGGACACTTTTGAGTCCATGTTGCTTCGGTTGGTTTGTGGGAGTGTTATGTGTCCAAGAAAGTTCTTATTCCAGGAGAGCCTGGACAAGCTATGGCTCGGCTTGATCAAGCATCAACTTTTGCTCCCTGGTGCAGCCGGTTCGTTGGGATGTTCCCAGCCCTTCGACGGGTCGACAAGCTGATCACCCGTTTTCCGAAAATTGCTGATCGTGGTGTGGCAGCCTCATTTGCCGTAGGTGTAGATGATAAGGACAGCCATTCGTGGATTTTTGCGGTTTGTGTTTGGATATGTTTTTCCTTGGCTTCACAAACTGACATGTTGGGTGGTGTGAGGCTGATCAGGCAGTTCGCCTCTTTTGCGGACTTGCTTTGGTGGGGCCATGTGAATGAGGGGTCACTCACCGACCTTCCTTGCACTCACCTTATTTTAAATGGGTCAACCGCTGTAGAACTCGAAGAGTCATGAAACAAGCAGTAAGACACTCCGATGAAACACCCACTGGTTGGACCTTTCTCCCAATTCAGACGAGGTCCAACTCCAGTCGTTTCTTCAGTCTTCCTCCCCATTTCCACCTCGCAATCCAACCTGATCCAACTCCAGTCACACATGAACCCACCCGGTGAAACGGCCCACTGGTTTTTTGGAGTTCGACCGATCGGCTGGTACGGGGTTCGACCACTCGGCCTCGTCCTATGTGTCCAAGTGGAGGCTCATCAAGGACGAGGTGGTAAAATACAACAGCAAGATTCCTTCAGGTGCCAGATCTGCTGGGGGTGGATCGTGGTGGATTTGAATGGATTTAACATGGATGAAGAGTCAAACCCGATCACTTGAAACACTGCTTGACGCATATGTATGCATATGTTGCTTCTTTTCTCATTTTTTCTGTCGTGGTTTTTCTGCCTAGATATACCCTGAACCTCAGCATATTTTTTCAGGGGTAGTACCACCTAGGGCCACCGACGTGTTTGGATGACAACCACTTCGCTCCTTCTCTGGTCATCGTCGCGACTTCCCCACCCGACCGCGCGACCGCCCTCGTGGCGCGTGCGGCGCAGCTTTGCGGCGGGTGCTCCGGACCGAGCCACGGTGGCGGGAGATTGTGAACTTCCCAGGCGTGCGGGCGTGCGGGCGTGCGGTGCTTCCTGGGACGGTGTCTTGGGGACTGCCGGAGTGCCAAGTAGGGTTGATATATACAGAACTATACAAAGAGATCCCGAAGCAGAAAGTGAAGTCACCATGTTCATGAATTTTATATAGTCTAAGTCTATGCTCGTGCTTTAGCTTTTTCGAGAAGACCTGACAGAGAGACCTGAGAGAGAGAGAGAGAGAGAAAGAGGGAGAGGGAGAGAGAGAGAGAGTACCCCCAGTAGATCTCAATAGCAATAAAAAAATCACTGAATTTGTGACACCCCCAGTCACCTAAGGTATAATTGTGTTGTTTGTATGTAGTGTATATTAGTTATTTTTCGTTATTGTAAGTATTAATTAATATGTATGTATGTATGTGTGTGTATGATTGTTGGACCTTGGTGCACCCAAAAAAAGTCGGCAGCTACATACAACAACCTTGAGACTGCCCTGGCTCGTTGGGCTACTTGCTCCCCAGAGCTTTTAGGGTTCAACCTCTTCTTGTATCCTCCATTGTCAACCAAGAGCCTGCATGTTTACTTTGACAACGATGCAGGCGAGGATGCAGCTACAATGGCCTCTCGACTTTGCACTTCGGAGGGGATAGGATGTGATGGATGTAGAGACTGAAGCTTTGATGTAAAAGGAGTTATATATATATATATGTACAAAAACATCTCAGGAGTCAGGAGGAATTGACTTTTCGGACTTCCCTTTTTGAAAAAACGCTGCTCGGCTTTAGTAGGAGCTGTGCCAGACGACACCGTTAAATTTGATGACATATACATACAGTGGTTTCAGAGTAGATGGCGAAGACCCCAAGATGTCTTTTAGATGGGGTCCATATAAACCATTATAAACCACCTCTTGGGGTTTGCGCCATCTACTCTGAAACCCCTGTATATATAATCGACAGTGAGAAACCAACTCTGAATTCGATGAAGGCAATGCCATTGCGCTTGCTACTTGGTGATGTTCTGAACGGCTTTGCTTGGTCAAGTGATGTTTCCGGTGAAATGGGATGGGCGTATGTTGATCAAACATGAGGCATAAACCCCGACTCTTAAAACATGACGCCCCACTACAAATCAGTCGCTTTGGGGCTTCGTGTGACCCTGTGGCCATCATTTGCCGTCCTGGCCTGTTGCCTGTGCTCAGGAAAGAAAGCGTTTAAGTTGCTCGGCTTGCAACTTACTGTTCATGGACAAAATGCTGCACAACTGTAGGTGGCTGCTTCTGGATAGAAGATCCGTGAGTACTATTACTATCATGAATGTATCATATGGTCCTAAGTGTCCTCAGCTATTGCATGGTGAGGGTGTTGTGCATCAACCGTGACACGTGCATTTGCTTGATGCGTGTTCAACGTCCGCTTGGATAGTTCAGTGAAACCACCTTTTACATCACAGTGTGCTTGTCGTGACACACCTGTTTCCCGGTGGGTTCCCCAAAGGTCGGATACTTACACACCTATAGGGCCCAGCAACAAAATGCACGACGGATGCATTTGCCAGCAGGCAAGGATCCAACTAAACATGTGAGGAGGAAAAGCATGGTGTGTCAGGGCTCTATAGTCTATACTTTATTCGTTCTACTGGGGTTGTGTATTTGAGGGCATTCTTTGAGGGGGTCTATCACGTGAATCACGAGGAAATGAGTTCTTCATTTGGTTCCGCTGAGGAAAAGCCTTCACTGTTTGGAGGCGGTGGACTGAAGTGGTCGTACGCGTGGCAAGCTGTGTTGCATGCGATTTAGGCTTTAGGCACCTATGCAAAGTCAGAAACAGGGCCAGACTTTTCGGGAACACAGCGATCAAGATCATTAAGAAAGAGAGAAGAACAATATACAGTACATAGAAAATATCAAACGTAAAGACAGGAGACTTGTCATGACTTCTCTTTGGCCGACTGTTTTCTCGAGAAGTTCGCGTCAGTGCCTGCCCCGAGGTGTGGGCCACATGATGGCCACATGTCACATTGGCCACGGCCCCTTAGTGTAGTGCTACCCTGGAGGATCCGAAGCTAAGTTGCGAGGAGGCTGGGAGGATGACCTTATGAAACAAACACCCTGTCAAGACTACTTGAACAGATGTCTCCCTCTCGTCCCCTGGGACGCATTGGTGGGTTGCTCCCGCCCCAACTCTTGCTTGTGATCATCTCGGGTTTGCTTTCTGCCACACCGGGGTGGTCTGTAGAGGTAGAGGTGAGCAGCCGGCAGCCTTAGGTCAGCCTTAGGTCTCACTCAGAATCTCGGAATCCACGTGGTAGTTCTTTGTTTGCCGACCTTCAACAGATACATACTGACATACTGTCACTGTTGTCTTCCAAAACCTTTTCGGACCCTTAACCCCCCCCCCCCCCCTTTCACCCTCCTTTCACCTAATGGGTGAATTCTTTGCCCCATTGACCTGCATTTCTCAGCATGGCACCGGACGCGCGGGACGCGTCGATGGTCCCCTTCGCCCTGCGTCCGGAGGCGCAAGTTGCTGTGGGTCCTGGTGGGTGACGCCTCGATGGTTTGGAAACACCGGCTGGCCGTCCGGAAGCCCAAGAGGAGCCCGGACCAGGCGGACCGATTTCGGTGAGGACCTGGAAGAGAGGAGGATCAATCGGCGAAGCGGAGACCATGGTCTTTTTTCACCTGTCGGCGTCGGAGATGTGGGGTTTTTTCCTTTGCTTGGGAGTGTGTGATATTTGGGATATTTGTGATGAGCCAATGGGGCGCACCGCGCATGGGCATGGGGCTGTCTGAGGTGGTTGCGTGGAACTTCTTCCTTTTCCTGATCAGCTGGTGGCTCTTTGGTTTTCAGACCTTCGAGCTACTTCAGGCGGGAAAAAGCCCTTCAGCCCGTCAGTGGAAACCGGAACCCAAAAGTGATCGGGCGTGACATGTTGTGACGGGGTGATTAAAAATAGGATACAATAGGGATGAGGAAGGAGATGGAAGGGAGCCTGTGACCAAGAGAGATGTCTATAAGGCACGAACCCCAACAAGTTCTGTGCAACTGGGTCATGCTGGGTCTTATTTGGTGGCCTGGTAATGGCAACAGCTTGCGGAGCAGATGCAAGTTGACTAGGCCATCCTGGTCTCGATGGTCCTCATGGCTTCGAGCAGTTTGCCACGGCAGATGGAGGCTGCAGAGCTTTGGCAGCGGCTTCCCTCCCAGGCGCCTGCGCTTCTGCGCTTCTCCTGACAATACATGACTTATGCTGAAGCTTGTGGAAGTACTACGGATGTTCTGGCCAACACGTGTGCCATTTTGGGTCAAGCCTTTGACCCAGCCTCTGTTTTTTCTCTACAAATGCTTTCGTTGGACATATGTTCAGGCCACCCGGACCTGCCATATACAGTATCTCCTTCTACGATCGATAGATAGCGGTGCTATCGGTTCGTTAGATAGGGGGAGTTTGCTTTTTTCTGTGCATGATTTGTTTGAACCGCTTGTTTCTCAGAAGAATGTCTTGTTTGCCAACCTGGTCTGTTCATTTGTGCAGACATGAATCTACCCAACTTCAGGCAGATCTTCAAAGCAGACTACCCAGCGAGCAGCTGATGGAACAGCAGCTAGCCAAGGCCGGAACTTTCAAGGAGCCTTCTGTGTGGGTGGGATCTTGGCAGTTCTGCAAGTTGTCCCACGGGTGAAGGGCTTGCCCTGCGGGATGTTGTGAAAACGATGTCAAGTGGCGACCAGGAGTTGGACGGTCATTGTTGTTTGGGAGCTTTCTTGGAAACTAGTAGGGTAGATTTGACAGCTGGTCTTGGGCCCCCAGCAGAGTGCAGAGAGACCTTTGAATGAATTGAGAGGGTCACCCTCTATCCCACTCTGGGCGGCTGGGCTTCAACCTAGATAGGACCTAGAACCTGCAGCTGTTGTTGTTGCTTTTCCTCTGTGTGTTTCAGTTGGGGGGAGGGAAAGGTTGGCACGGATATGTTTGTATGGCTCGTGGGGTCGACCAGTGGTTCACTGGTCCTCAGGTCTACGTAACCTTGCTGCTTGTGCCCTCCTCCTTTCGCAAGGCTTGGCAGAAGCTCCACACAGCCAGCATCATGGTGCTTCGGCTGAATGCTTGCTGCTTCGAGGAGTTGCAGGGTGTCGATCAGACCTTTTCTGGCGCATCCATCCTGCAGCTTTGGCCGTCGAAGATGACAAACCGCACCACCGGGGCGTGGACCCTCAAAACGTCGTCGTCCTTCTCCGGTGTACGGCGTTGGCATCGGAAACGGTGAGCCCCGTCCACATCGTCCTCTCCCACCGCGCTGGAGCTGCACATCGAACGGTGCGATCGTTTTCCAAGCTGCGGATCCCCTCAGGTGGAGGAGTTGCTCCTGGCAGCACCAGATGAGATCCAAAAGCTCCGAGCGATGGGTGTCCAGAGCTATGCCCAAGACGCTAAGGCAGCTGGAGACGGGGTGCAGACAGGGCTTGTGTGTGTGGTGACCTGGTGTGGTGGGGAGGAGAAATGGGTATGCGCGAGATGTGGATTTCGCTTGATTCTTGGGTGTGATGTTTTGTCTACGTACTCCATTCCTGCAAATATCTATGCCGCCAAGATTGAAGTGATTTGACATCGTCATCAGCCACGGGGAAAACATTGCCTGTGACATGTCCAAAACTATTCAACATGTACCCCCATCACAACTCCTGGCTCGAATCCCAAGTGTGGCCTGGGACGCAAATTGTCCTGCAGAGTTGTCAAAAACCTCCCAGATCCTCCCGGATTGATCCGCTGGGGAAGCACAGCCTCAACCAGCCTGAACCGGTTTTCTGAAGGAAACAAGCTGTTCATAATTGTTCGTTGGACTGTACGTTGACTAATGAGATCTTGAGAACGTAATCTTACCCATGGGGGATTCTTGTAGTAACAACTCAGGCTATAGATGCTATAGTGGACATGCTACCCATGGGTCATTCATGTTTTGAGGTCAACATGACTTTGCAAACCTTTCCAGGTCACCTTCAGGTCACCTTATGCGCAAACCTTTTGATGTACGATAATTTTTAACTGTACAGTCAGAACCTCCCAACCCAAACAGACAAAACCAATGCCAAAACTGTTTCCAATTGACCCATTTGGAGGCCACTAACATGGCTCCGGAGAGCCCAACACGGCAACACTCACAAAAGGAGGTTCCCTTTTCATCCCTTTTCCAGATTTGGCTTATTTTATCGAGTGAGGCCGAAGCACGCCATCCATCCGCCCAGGCACGCTTCGATGTTTGGCAAGCCATCGAAGAGCCGGAAGAGGCTGTCGAAGAGCTCGAGGAGGAGGTGGGGTCTACAGATGGTGACGTTCGGACGGTCCGGTCTGCAGACGGGGCACAGATGGGTGGGTTAGGTAGTCTGGATTTGGTGAACTGAACACTGGATGAATACTGGGGTCAAGTGTGTTCGTTCAGTTCAATTGCTTGTCAGTCCTCCCAACCTGATATTGCAATGATGAGCTCTTTCGCCCTTGACAATGGCGCTGGAATCCCGAGACCCCAAAGGCTCCAAGAGAGACCCGCCAGGCTTGCTCCTAGGTACCCTTGCCTTTGCACAATCACCCTTCCAGGAAAAAACTAGTTTCATTTAGCAGATGTTGCTGCAACACCAAAAGCATTGAGAACATTTGGCCACCTTGCGTGAAGTTGACTTGAAAGGTATTGTTGGCAGCTGGAGGCCGTTAGGCTAGCTTGCCATGCGTGCTGTGTATATTATAGATATTTGACGAGCGATATGTGATGTGTAAGCTAATTGTATAAGTGCTATTACCTGTAACAGTCGGTAAACAAATAGATAATATATATATATATATCATATCATATCACTATTTTTGAACAAGGCCTTTACTAACCATCATCATCCACTATTACTGGTAATGGGATAGACCCAATATACGCAATATATATATAATACATGTATATAGCTACAAGCTTTGTCATCACAAACCGGTTTGGCCACCGGCTTGAACCCTCTGCACGATTGCAAAAAGGGCAGCGGCCAGGAACCCAACGCCAAGGATGAGCAGCGGAGGAAGAAGTCTGCCGCTATCGCCAGCAAGATCAAAGGTGGCTTACCAAGCGTTGTGAATGTTGTGCCTGCTGTTGTCATTGCATTGTTTGCTGGTGTATGTCCATCTATATGCTGTATGTTGTTTGTATATATTTATTGTTGTTTATGTGCTCATTGCTGCTTTTCTTGCCCGTGCCATGTATATAATCGTTGCTTGTTTTAGAACTACAACCCATGCTACCAAGATCGCTATATACAATCAATTCGTCGTGCTATTCAAGACATGATATCAGAGTTGGATGTTGGCCCCCAAGATCAACCATCCTTCCCGGCCCATACCACGAGAGCAACCAGATCTAGTAGAGGGACAGAGACGAAGAAAGAGAGAGAGAGAGAGAGAGAGAAAGGGAGGGAGTTTTTGTCAATGCCAGTTTTTGGCACACTGCTTGAGACTGGCCTGCTTGCATGTAAACATGGTGTAGGTCCCCATGCTGGACAAGAAACAGTATCACTACCAAGTGTTCGCGTAGTTGCTTTAGGAAACGAATGAACCGCGCAAGTTCCCCGGTCATTTAAACGCAAGGGCTTCACCCAGTGTTGTGTTGTGAATGATGTTGCGTTCCATGCTTTTCAGTACACAATTCTTTGATCCAAACCTGGCACGGTGACAAGCTTGGCACGCAGGCATCAAAGCGGGTCACTGGGCTGCAGATGGGCGGCGGTGGGAAGGAGGCTTATTGCAGTATTGGATGATAGACCGAATGGTATTTTGGCAAAATGACATGGAAGCAGACATGCTGCCTTGAAAAGGACTAACTATGCTCCACTACCAAGAAAATCAGGTGGTATGTATTCGACATTCATGTGATGTGATCATTAGAGTTATGTTGGGCAATGGCAGCCATACATGACCAACCATCAAATAATGTTTTTTGTTCGAAACAAATGCGGGAAAAAATAGCAAAACAACAGCACATTAAAATGCAAAAGCAGCGGAATTTGTTTTGTTTTTGCATTTGTGTTGCTTCTTTTTTTTTTTCCTGGTACCACTTCTGCACTTATGAGAACTTTTGCCCGTCAGCAATATTTGCTGTACGCTCCTAGGGAAAAAGCGAAACACATGCGAAAATAAAGCAAAAACAATGCGAACATAAAGCGGAAAAATAGAAGTGAAAACAAGCGACAAACACGCACAGCTACATGTTTTTGCTTTTTTTGTTTGCTTTACCTTTTGCTTTTTTTTGCTTTATAAAATTATGTTGGCTCCTTGTATCTATGGCTGGCGCGCCCGACATAACATTGGAGGGTGTTGGCGGCTTGAATCACTTGACATGAATGAATGTATCATGAATGGTTGTTTTAAACTGCAGGGGGGAGGTGGTGCCATCACCAAGGCCAGTGGTCTTGAAGGGTGAACAAAGATGTAGCGTATTTGCATGTAATGTTCCTAGGCAAGCGCCCGGTTTTAGCGATCCATCAACAGTCAACACATGCTCAAAGATCAGGGCTACTGGTAGCTTGCATCACCCAGCTGAAGCCGAACATGGTCTTGATTCCATGATCAAAGGATCATAACAATATAATTAGTATATATATATATCAATACACACGATACCACGTTGGCGGACTTCTAATGGCATCGCTTTGACTTCCACGGACGGACGGCTGCACAGAGGTGAAGCGGTGGCCAACTCCGACGCTCTCCGGCGGAACAAGGGCCGGCGCCGGCACGTGAAGTGAGACTGCTGCCAGTTCAGTGCCTTTCACCGCTTGTCCGGTTTCAAGAAAGACCTGAGAGTCCCCATTCTGACACAGATACCGGCACCCGATAAATGTTTGGGCGAAGGATGGAGAAGAAATTGGAACTTATGTAATTATGTATGACAGGCGTGTGTATTGAAACATGGATTTAGGATTACTTTCCTTCTTCCAAGGAGTCTTTGGGAGGTCTCGGCATTGCACACACCCCAGCCGCAGTGGGTCCGTCCACCACTTCGGCGCGGGCAGGGCGAAGGGTGGACCAGAAGACGTCCGCACCTTCCCGTGGGTTCGTCCATTAGATTGAACATCAACTATCGGGCGGCACAGAGACAAGCGCCTGGGCCTGGTGTGATGTTGTTGGAAGCGGGTTGCAGAAGCTTGGCTCCCATGGAGCTCTTTCACAGGGGCTCCACCAACCACACGCGAAAGGAATGCCAGCGCAGCGCGCAGAACACAAACATGCCCGGCAGAGCAGGGATGGAGTCGGGCGGATGGGAAAGGCTAAATGATACAATCGAGAATTTATATATATATATATACATATATTTATATATACACACACCTCCGCATGAAGAAGCTTTTGCAATCCAAATGAGTTTCTTTCCTCAATCCAGAGTGTACAGTAGCCCCGTACTTTGCAATTCCTTTAAGCTTTGTTTCACTGCGTTTCACGTGGCTCGTGTTGATTTGAACCCTGCCCAGTCGCCAGAGTCCTCGCTCGCACGCCTCGCGCAGCCACACGTATAGCAGAGCTGCAAGATGCTGCATGTGTAGTGCCATACATGGGTTTCTTGTGAGAAGAGTCCACCACATGTTCATGAATGTTCAGATCTTGCAGCTTTTCAAAAGACACTTGAGATAGAACTATACATATGTAGTACTTGCTACCACTGGATTGGGAAGGCAGATGAACAAGCAGGCCCTACCCTCCTTTTTGTTCTGAAACCAACTCAACAAGGCGAGACTTGTTTGGACTCATGAGGACGCCACCGGTAGTTTTCATGCACCGGTGATTGGGACCTGTAACTTCCAGTGACCCCCGAGACAACAAGAAGCAGACCTAAGCAGACCTATGGACCACCATGTGCGAAAGATGTGCGAAGGTGCTCCCTGAGATTTTTTGTTTCCTCTGTGACCGCTGGGGGTTCAGCGGCAGTTGGGTTCGGTGCCCGCGCCTGGCGCGGGTGGGCCGAGAAGAGCCATGGCTCCAAAGACGAGCCCATCGGCAACCAAAGAGTTCTGCAAACGCTTCGTGCCACTTGGAGCAAAATTGTGCAATGACACAGGATGGGTACTACCTTAGGAAATTAATTGATGGGTGGATTCACTGTATGGATTATTTTTGCGAATTAGTTTTGCCTAGAAATTAACTGACGGGTATGTGTAGGGTGGTTGTCAATTGAGTTTCAGTGCTTGAGTGACCCCCACCTCAATTAATTTCCTGATTGAGGGTGGGTCAACAGTAGACACCACCTCAATTAATTTTGAGAATGCTAAGCCAGCCCACCTCCAATTATTGCGTCAGCAAATATCAGAATTGAAGTCATGATGATTCATGATGAGTTTGTGTCCCTGCTGTTTTGTCTGCAGCCAGCGGGATTGAGAGTGATAATGACCTGTCACCCCGAGTCACCCCCTCATTCATGTCCTGCGAAGTAATTAGTTAATTGGGGGTGGGTCGACAGGTCACCCCCACACACAATTTCTGTGGAACATAAATGTCTGGGGGTGGTGCCACCTGAAAACGCTCCAGACAACCCACGTAAACTTTTAAGGTTGGAGATGTGTTTTTAAGTCTTTGTTTGGAAGCGGGCCCCCCAGCAGACTATGGTGATAGCAGCGCTAGGTTGGCGCTAGGTTTCTTCACAACAGGCACTGTGATCCACGTTGATTTCTGATGACTCATGTCGTCAATTGTCGCTTGAAAAATCGATGAGGATAGGTGGAAATTAATTCAGCAGTATGACACTGTCTCAATTAAGTATGGGGTGGAGTGGGTGTACCCAACCCAAATTAATTGAACATATGTCAAGGGTGGTGGGACATGGAGGTGGTCTAAGGTAGTTTCCGCCTTTGCTTCAAGTCAAAAGTTCTCAAATGTTCTCAAAAGCGGATCCACACCAGTTCTATATACTGGCGGCCGACCAGTTCGTCAAAGATTTGTCAGTTTGGATGTGAAAATGCCCTCTCAAGCGTGCCGATGTTTCTGGGAAGATTTGGAAGCCCCCAGCAATGCATGTCCTGCAGCAACCCAGACGCTCGGACGATCGAGGTGTTCTGCCAGCGTTACTGCTTGTGGCCTGATGCTCCTGAGGCGGAATGAGAGTTGAACAACATGTATCACATGTTCTCATGTGTTGTACTTGTATAGTTTTTTGTTGGGGGCGAAACGTATATTTTGGGGGCCATCATCCAAATTGGAGGTGCTGGCACGATAGTCATCTCGATCTTTGGTGGCTTACCAGATGTTCCATGACTACCAGTTGATACCTTGGACTTCACTAGTGCCCGAAAAACCGCCGTCTCTTTGGGTTCGTTCCGTCGTGTCCGCCGCGACACCAGAAATGCCACGGCACCGAAGGACCTTCCGAATGACGAGCCCCGCTGGAGTCAGCATCGACACGAGCCGAATTCTGCAAGACCTGCGCGTCTCCGAAGAGGACCGGAGCGGCTTCGGTCGATCTCGTCGGGGCGGAAATCGTGCGCGGGACGACAGGGGGCGAAGGGTTCCAGCCAAGACCAAGAGATGTCGTGGGATGTCACACTGACATACACTGACATGGTGGTTGATGGGAGAGATGCCATCGTGGAAAGCAGGTTCTTGGTTGTGTTGGGAGGCCTTGTGATTCCAAGGCCTGCTCAAGTCCAGCTGGTATATAATTCAAAGCAAGATGAACGGGCTCTCCCACAATACAAAGACGAGAGTATAGTTTTAGAAGATTGGACACCTCAGTTCAATTCCTGCGGCCATGCGGAGTGTCCTACCCAGTGGTGGATGTGTGATCTAGCTTCAGAGTTCAGAGGTTCAGACCCTGCAATCGAATACTGTACTGTTCTTTAAAAAAAGGGAGTTTTACCGGCCTTGGAGTTCTTTTTTCGTGAAAGTGGAGATCTGAAGTCCTAAGACAGGCAAAGCTCCGGGATTTGAAGCACGCGGCAGGAGTTCCAGCCCATCAAGCCCTTGGCCTCCGTAGCAGCACCCCCTGCAGCACCGGTGACCGCGCCACTGGCAGCGCCAGCGCCACTGGCAGCGGCAGCGCCACCAGTAGCGGCGCCAGTGCCGGCGCCCAAGGCAGCAGAGGTGCCCGGGGCCAGACGCTGTGACGCAACCGGGGTGGGTGATGGGGATGTACGGGTGAGAAGTGGCGAGACCACGGTGACAAGGGGTGTACTATATACATGTGTTACATGAGGATTTTGATATTTGATAAGAATAATAGTGCCCGTGACCTTGTTGGGTCCCCACTGACCAAATATTCATTGAGGGGTGGCCCTTTGATCGAAGGCTACAACAGGTGGCATCAGATCAAGGCTGCGCTGTAGGGGGAGATGCAGAGATGCTTGTCTTGGTCCTTGGTCTAAAAGGTCTAAAGAAAAAGAGACAAACATAGATAAACAACACGTAACATGTCTATATATAAACAAAAAGATAATGAAGAAAGGTTCTAAAACATCTTGGAGCCCCCGCCCAGGTGAGTTGCGTGTCGGGTGGGGAATTTCGGGGGAGGGGTCGGAGGGGGTGAAGTGGAAGCCAGGATCTGATAAGCAGCATTTGGCAGATTTACTCTTTGAATATCTTTGAGTCATTAACACGGAAGTGGAAACCCACCTGTTTGTAGAGAGTTGTGTTACATCCAGGGGCCGATTTTACACTTTCATGATGATTTCAGAGAGTGTCGTCACTCTTTGGGTCAGTCAGCGTATGCCGCCCCAGGCTACAATGGCCATTTTCTTCATCGCCTCAGTGACATGGCTTTGAACAGGCGGCAGATAGCAGGGCGATTTGGCTGGGTCGCTCTGTTTGCTTTTATTTTTTCTGTGTGTAAGTTCTTCCAACTTGGCGATGAAAAAAGAAGGACATATAAGAGTGGTGAATGATGTTTAGTTTCATATGTCCCAGCCAGTTCAAAGTTGAGAGGGATGGAGCCGGTCGCATGGTCCCGACCCATCAATCCCTTATGCTCTTCACACTGTTGGTGTGCTGGACTGGGATACCCCACTTTGTTGGGGGTTACCCGTATGCCGAGGTGCCAAGAAGCCTGGGTGTAAAGGCTGCTGCAACCTGGGAGACAAGGTGGTGGACTGCTTGGACGTGGAGAATCTCGATGGAACTTCTTTCCACTGGTCGAGATTGTGATTCTTTTTTTTTGGTGGAGAGGGCGCCCGGAAAGACGGGGTAGTTTTCGTTGGACCGGATAACAAGGTGTGTCCAAGTGTCCAGGTCTACACTGTCTACACATGCCAAATTGCATTGGTGGCCCCCTCGGTCTCCTTTCAAGTCGAAAAAGTGATCCCTCTCATCAAGTGGTCCTTCGTGTGGAACTTCACCTTCCCAGAAGTGTTCTCATTGCCGTACTGCATAAGCCTGACCTTAGGAGCTGGGTAGGTTGATTGTTTGAATTAAGACCTGAGTACTGTGTGCAGTCTGGGGGTGCAAATGATGCGGATAGAGGAAACTTCGTTCCTCAGCCTCTCAGATTCATCCACTTGCTCCTGTACTCGTCTTGTGTAAGGAGGAAGATCGGAAGGTCTTGGCTAGTGGCACAAGTGTTGGCAGATCTTGGGTGGGATAAGAAAGGGGACATAACAAACAAAACTAAAAGATAGCTTTTGAATGCTTTTGATAGTATGCACATGGTGGGAGGTGAAGGTCCTCCAAGGTTCCAATGATTCTAGCATCTATCGAACAGATTGCAACCCATGCGGAAACAGACTGCTTTCATCCCATTTGGCGCTTCCCCCACGCTCACTCACCAGGAAATGCGCGGAGAAGGGCCCAGAGAATGGCAAGTGCCTCATTTGAATGGATCTGATTTGGTTCAGCGATTCACCGCGAAGCAGATTCACGCGAAGCGCCCCCGATGGGGCGCTCACATGTCATACCGTACACGTCGTAGGTCTTCGAAGCTGTTCTCCGGACCGTCCTGGTGGCGGGTGATGTGCCAGCATGCTGATCACTGGCAGCTTCGTTGCTCATCGTGTTGATCACCTTAAGCCTTTCTTTTTTCCCATGAGATGCTATCACTCGACTCCACTACGGTCTCATTGTTGAAGCATGTCGAAGCAGTTCTTCTGCTCCCCAAGCAGTCACAGGAATTTCCAGGAGCTCTCATAGCTTGGCTTTAGAGTGTTCGGCCAAGTCCCTCATGTCCATCCCAATCAACCATAGAGCTAATGAGCTAATGGTGCACTGAGATCTTGACGATGTTTGTGCTGCCACAGCCACATTTCGGTATTCTTTGCCTGTTCTCTTCTTTGCCCTCTACAGTGCCCAGCTAGCATTGTGTGAAACACGCCCCTCTCCGTTCGTTTAAAGACCATGCTGCTCCTTCTTGCGAAGAATAGAATTAAATACCTTTTGTAAAACGCCTATTGGCTCCATGCCAGAGGGAAATGGGAAGTTGATTTTCCTCCGCACCACGCATCATCCCAGATTTCTCCGGTGTGGGTCTCTGGCGGGTTCTGTGCCACCAGGAAGCTAACCAATGGTGTTTCTATACCACAGCTGTCCAAGCGTTAGCAAATTATATTTAACAAAGTCCAGTTGTTCGGTGGGGTGTTTCACTATATCACCGGCTAAATCGTCGGCCCACCTTCCCGTTGAGGTATGCCTTGGTCCTGAGCCATTGGGGCCTTCCGAGCGAAGGGATGCTCCAGCCGCATGGATGAAGTCTTCAGGTGCGGAAAACCATTCGAAACCCTTATGAGTGACGTGCCGTTCCAGTCAAAAGGTGAGCAAACCGTTGGGAAGAAGCATCGCCAAGTTGGGAAGAAGCAAACCGTTCATGTCCACATCATTTGGCAATCTGGAAGCAAAACAGGAAGGGACCGTGACATGAATCTATCCTCCTTCGCAAAGGACGAACCAAAAAGTCCATACCAGGTGGTGTCCAAAGGGCCGATCAAAAGGGAGCTTGCAGGTTTCAGAGCCAAGATGGTCACAAAAAAAATCACATCTAATGAGCCATGGCTTCAATGGGATACCCTTATTCTCCCTTATTGATGGGGGTCCCCCCAGGGTGACTGGATTGTGCCAGGGAATTAGCCAACAACCACCCTGGCAACTCTGAATGACATCGGAACTATGTTTGTTGCCATCACAAGGAAACAGTGTGTATCTCCAGTGCGGTAGAATACATTAGAATATATTCCCCACCCCCACCAAAAAGTCTCTCTAACTGTATTGAACGTGTGCCTTTTCATGGCAGAACTGAACGGTCAACCGCCGAGTCCACGGGTGAGGTCCATCGTGTCGATGAAGGCCGCGGCCCTAGCCATGAACGCCGAGATCTTAGTGATGATGCTCCAGCACGACGCTGACAGGTGCGCCATGTGGCGTGGGGTGTCGTGTGGAAGAGCCATTTGGTGTCGAGCCGTTGGTTCGGCGGTCAGTTTGCTCCAAGCGCACAGCAGGCCCAGTAAGGTCCCGCGAATGCACTTACTGTAACTCAACTTGCTGTGCAGTTTCTGGGGCCGCGCGGCACCCATGGTGACCATGCGAGGGTTGATGGGAGGATCGTTTTGGAGAAGGAGTGGCTGGGGCAACGCAAATCGCCCTGCCCATGATGTAAACAATTGTAAACATCTTGGGATCCGCGAAGTGAAGCCACCATGTTTCATCCAAAGCTCTCATGCACATGCTTGAGCGTGGTTCATGATGTTCTCGGACCCGATTCAGTTCAAGGCATACAGACGTATAGGTTTCGATCAGTAATTGAATTGGATCAGCTCTAGACGCGCCACTCTTTTTCTCGGGGTTCACTACGCATCATTTTTCAGGCGATTGAACTATTGAGGCCGTTGATAGACTGTTGCTGAGATGGTGGGGGTGGATGCGACATGAGAGTTCATGCCGCCAGGATCTCGCCAAAGGTGAAGGCTTTGCTAAAGAAGTGGGAGGCCGCTCAGCCAAACAGCTGCGATAAACAGAAGGAGATGTTACGATGTTCGTTCAAATACTTCACCTCAAGGTCTCACAGATGACGTGGTATAGACCGTGAGGTGGATCCACAGCCAAATGTTTAAACGGATTAATTACGATACAGTATATAATACACACCTCCATGTGGCTGTTTGTAGTGAAGCAGGGGTTGTGCCCAAGGGCAGAAGCAGCGACGAAGTTCCGGTCAACAACTCTAAATCAACTCAGTGGTTATGATTCTATGACACTAAACAGTCTCCATTGGCAAGTTTCTGTCCAACATCACCTTCAAGTTGCGATATTTGACCCTTGAGACTCAACTTTGAGACTGTAGCCTCAGGCGACTTCGCCATATTTGGACGCCAGTTTGGACGCCTGATTGTTTCGTCGGATGGCCAGGTCGCTGTGCACGTGGTGCCATGGGACGTGCCTCCAGGTTCGATGTTCAACCCACGTCATGACTGGTGTTCCGAGGCCGCAGGTTCGGTGGCGAAAGCTGAAGATTGACCTCGTTTTGCTAAAAGGTGATTATTCTAGGTGGTCTCAGATTTGTTTATTTTCAACCTGTACTTGCCATGATTGAATCCACTGACTAGTACTTTTCAAGTGACTTGAAACCACCAACTAGTTTTATTGTCTATGTTCCCTATGGGTAAGTCCCTTCTGGTAGTCCCTTCTGGTGAATATGTTTGTTTAATTTTCTTTTACCGGTTCCTTAAGCAAATCCAAGTTGATATCTATTGTTCATTCTGCAGTAGGAATTTGAGGTGCATCCTCAGAAGGTCGTTGCATCGTCGGCACGGAGAGCAGAGATGGAACCGTCCTTCGAAAGGCAGAAGACACATTTGGGACTGTCCAACTGTGCAACGACAATGACAAGGGGAAGATGGTTCTGAAATGATTGACACGTTTGAAGGTGCCCCCTCCACTGATAAGGATGACTGTAGCATCCTGCATGATGTAAAACGAGCAAGACCATATTGATTGGCTGCCACGGAACAACAGAGTACAACATCAAAAGCATCGAACGGCACATCCAATCACTGCCGTGGAACCATAAAGCCCCATCAACTCAGGTGGCCATCAAGACTTAATCCGACTTCACACTGTGGGTCTGGAGGGCTATGATGCCGTCGCCTACTACGATGCGGACTGCGAGCATTGACTGCAAGAGGATGATGTCAGCTGCGAGATGCTGCGAGTTTGGGAGTCAAAGCATGGACTGGAGACGACTCCAACATGACTATCGCTTCAATGTGTGTGTGTCTATGCTATATAAATATTACATAAGTCCATCCAAGATCGACGCCCAGGAATTTCAGGGCGACATTTTACCAGTCCTTCGATGTGCCGCGACAGGCGGGGGACATTTACTCGGCTTCCTCGAGCCGAAGTTGGTTCGAGTTCCGAGAGGTTCCAAGTGGGGGTGCTTTTGGAGACCCATCCAGTGAGTGGATCATGGGAGTTCCCCATCCGGACATGGAACTGCGAAATGATGAGCGTTTTTGGAGTGCAGGGCTTGGAGAATGCCAAGTGGTTTCGGCAAGACTCACAAGACCCCATTCCAGGATACCCCAGCTTTTATTGCTGACTGCCTGGACAAGAAATGGGAGAGACGAGCCATCATTTTCGAGCAAACGCATGCGCAAATCAACGGTTTGTATGTGCTGTTGCAAGAATTGGCATGGCCCCAGACTTGCGACCCCCGTCAACCCTACCACTGGAGTAGGTAACTAGTATAGGTTTTACTACGTTCAGGTCCAGGGACTAGTTGATGCAAGTTGCACCTATCCAGTTGATCCAGTTGATTTGAAATCACCGCAATTGCGTAGCCTAAGAGGGATGGGTCGTGAACATGCACATGAAACCTTAATTTGAAGGACTACAAACCCAGCTGTGGTGCAATGCCGTGCTGGTCAGGCAAGTTTCTCAGCACCAACGGCGGTGTCGGAGAAGCACTCAATATTGGAGTTTTGGCCAAGCAGTGTGGCCAGGGCAGTGGTGAGGTACTGGATGCGCGATGTGTGCTCTATGGATACCAACTCAGGTGGTGCGGTTGCCATGCTACTTTCAGGGTCTACCAGAGTTTCATTATACTGTAACCATATAGTGGTAACTGCACCTGTTACACCAGAGTTGCCCTTTCCATCCTTCCAGCCATCCTTTCTAGATCCTAAACAACTGCACGGAACAGCCACACGAACGATCCGAGGATTCATTGCCCTTCGGCCGAGCGCGAAGCTCTTAGAGGCTCCGAAAGAGCAGGAGATGCCAATTCTGGGATACACCATAATTACTGAATGCACTTGGTGGCAATTTTGCAAATACTGTATATGAAACAAAGTTTGGAATTCATAACACAATATATGCCCAAAGGATTTCTAGAAGCCTTTGACCCCTGCTTTGATGAACAGTTGTCTAGTGTTCAAATTGGTTTTGCACGGGCCATGTTGACCTCTTGGCAATATGTTTCCATCGCAGGTGTCAAGGTCCAAGGCATCCTTGTCCTGCTAATGATCATTTCCATGCATCATACATCATACAAATTGCGGGTTCTGCGCATGAAGATTTGATGGTATGAAGATCCCGAGCTTTCCCCACATGGCCCTGCACATCAGCTATTTATTGTAAAAATACAGATGCAGTATGATGATGCAGTATGCAGCAATCATAACCACGCGGCGCTTGCAACTGTGGGATCTCACAATCCCACCCTAAAATAGGAACATCCAATTGCATCAGTGTCCTGTGATAAGAGATTCCATGCCCTTGTCATGGATGACTTTCTTGTGCCGCGTTCTTCTCGCGTGTCACGCTGCCGACTCCCTCAGGCTGCGTTGATCTTTGCCCGAACCAACAACTTCACCGTGAAAGATGGTGACTTGGCCAACGGACCTGGACGCGACCCGGGCGGTGAAGCCGGTGAAGCCTGTGAAGTGACTGATTTATTCCCGCCGGTTTCCTGCACCAAGCCCATAATCAGTCTTTGAAAACTAGTGCCACCAGCCCTCTTCGGCCCCGGAACCTGAGGGGATGTGATCAATTCGTTCGTCAAAGAGTGTATCTTCTCCAACCCAGGTTGGGGCCACACTGGATGGAAGCCTTGTGGTGGCTACTACGTGGGCGGTGAGTGCGGGCAAGGCGTAGTAGGGTGGGGCTGTCAGAGATTTCGGGATGCCGAATTCACATGACCCAGAGAAGGTGGGATGGGGGGAGGTGACGAGTGGAACTCAGCTGGGCAAGATCTCCACATGCATATCGAGTGAAGAAGCCCGAAGTCGCGGTGTTTGTAGCCGGTTCCACCTCGATTTTGACATGTTCTACATTGTCTGGAGTTCCGTGTGTGGGTGTAGATACATGCTTGTTTTTTGGTTGTTATTGCTTGTTGTTTCTCAAGCGTGCGTGGGAACCATGAAGCTTTCACAATCGGAGGCCCAGACAAACTTGTTCAGGTGGCCTTTGACCTGGTAGCCTGCTTTATTTGGATGGACGACCCTGAGATTGGAAGAGGTGTTGTGAGAATTGGACCACAACAACGTCTCATTCCTTTGCGGGGCGTATGCACTTTGAGCTCAGTGGCACTTAACCTCTTCACAGAATATCCCTGCATCATTATAGATAGACTGGAAATGAACATGTCACACACACACATATATATATAGATATACACATATATTTGTGACGGTGCGTGCTACGGCAACTTTGCACTTGGCACCCTCATGTACTGTAACAGTGAAATCCTTCTTCTTGTGGTCCCCGCTCACAGCCAAAAACCGGAGAGAATGGTTTCCTTTGACTCGACAGGTTTCTTCTACAGCCTCTACTACTCCAACAGCAAGGCTGCACAGAAGGCCTTGGTCTCTTGGACTGTCAACAGGCTTTGACCATAAACATCCATAAACCGTTTCCTGAAGGCTTGGCATGGGTGCCATTTATCTCTTCCTCTTGAGTGTCAAGTCTTTGGATTTCTGGGAAGTCAGGGACCTCATCTCATATCCACCGAAAAGACCTCGAGGATTGACAGACCTCGGTCTGGTGGGTTTTTGGACACCTCATGTTGTACCCAAAACTCGGCTCGCGCGCGAAGCCAAGGAAACAGCTGGTGCGGACAAGAACATCTTTGAAGCTGCACAGATCGACCGATGCTTGGTGGAGTGCGGGCTCTCGGGCTCTTGGTGGAGTGTAGCGATCTTTTCATAAGCGATCCCTCACTGACTCCCAACAAGTTCGGGATCCCCGATATGACATGGGCAGCAATTCACCGATAAGCCATTGGTTCTCAGCCGGAGTTGTAACTAACAGGTTGAGGCAATTACCATGCTGAGGTACTTAACGGGTTGAGGTTACACGGAAGAGTATACAGTATAACTGTATAATGGTGTACAAATATAGGGATGTATCATGCAAAAATCCAGAACGCTATGTTGACACCCCTCTATTTCACACATTTCACAGATCCTGGAGCACACAAATTCCCCAGGAGAGTGAATCTAATCGGACAGTTTGTTGGTTGATAATCCTTGAGCTTGGATGTCATATAGACTATAGACATATTAAACATATCAGAATCAACATACATATATATATATGGCATAATTACCCAGTGATTTGCCTTCAGCTCTTGGCTACATTCGTTCAAGAGTCTGGTAGAGACCGAGAGATTGAGATTAACGTTGTACATATAGCCAAGGGGGGGTTTCAACCCGATTTTGCATCTTAAGTCTTAAGCATGCTCACGACTCCGAGGATGCTTGTGGAACTACCAGACCAGCTATCAGTGCAGGCAAGACTTTGACTGTGAGCGTGTGCGGGTGCATCACAAGCCGACCAAGGAACGTGGAACCGCCTCTTAGTCGGTGAACAGTGAAGTTGCTTGGGTCATGGAATGTCATGGATATTGATTGTGCAGGACATGACATATTGATATGCACATACATGGCCCTCCTGGATGAGAATGGTCATGTTTATGTTTCTAACATAATTGTCCTTCTTCAGAAACCATTTCTGTGAGCTGCAGTTGCTTTCTATGAGTTCTCATGTTTGGTTGCATTTGCTGCCTCCAAGTATACATCGTCCAACTCATCATGGATTTGCAAAGCCAATGGCATTGATTTGGAGCTCCTCCATGCCAAAAGCACTTGCAGAGTTCCTGTAGGCTGCAATCGCTGTATGATTTGTGCTGGTTTGGTGCAACCTTGTTGCTTGCCTAGTCCATCAAGCATTGCATCAACTGGAGGACAGGGAAGGTCAACCTGGCATTTCTATGTTCGACGATCATTGAAAGCCATGCCCCTTTTAACATGAGAGACAACTCAATAAGCCATGCCCGTTGTGCACGCTCTCATCCTTTCATTTGTGGACGGATGGTTGTACTTCAGACCACAGACCTAAGGACCGGAATGAGTGCGAGAAGCTCAAGTACCGGCAGCGCCGAAAGGACGCAGCCAGCATTACATCATTGTCATTGCATGCCTCATAGTGTGGGCAAGGCTATGGAATAGAATTGAAGGATAAAAATGAAGGTTATCTTTTTGCGTGTGTTGTTTTTTGTTTTCCTCGCCCTGTAGCGCAGGAGCTGGCGAAGAAGAAGCGGGATGCCCGTGCACCACCCAGCGCGGCAGAGCTGCAAGCCGCCAAAGAAGGTGCGGTGAGAGAGAGTTGAGGGGTTGGCCGAGGTTAATCTGCGGAAGGCTAGCAGCCAGTACAAACACCATTGGACTCCTCGCAGACTGGCCAAAATGGCCAGCGTAAAAGCTCCATCGTCGGGGTTTGAGTCAAGATTCAGTTGGTTGTTGTTTCATCGAATGCATTTTGCTGGATGAAAATCAATTGCCTCAGCGGTCGCTACCTTCTTGTGGAGCCCCACGTCCCTTTCAAGACATGTCCTCACAGGAACCTTGCTCCGGCACTTTGCCGGGATGTGCGTACGGTCCAACGAGCCTGGGCGAAACGACTGCTATCTCAGCCAGAAGACTTGGCTAGACTCCATGATGATGCTGGATTTGAAGGATACCAACTAGGTTTCACTTGGAGACCGCCCTGGTTTCGTCCACACCCACGGTGTCATTTCATTGTTGGGGATTGCCAACTTTGGGTCCGGAAGCTACGTATTAAAATCTTAACTGCCCAATGTTGCAATGAGTAGCAGCACTCATAAGGGTGGTTTGGCTTCTTTGCAGTGCCCTAGGACGAAATGCCGGTTCAGGTGAACGGGCAATGGCAAGCCATGCACATATGTAGAGGTCCCGTGCATCATTGAAGCCCAGAACTTCTCGCAACAAGCGCACGTCTTCGGGTCTAGTGCAGGTCGTTGACAGCCTAGGTAGTCTAGGTAGCCTGGACAGTTTTTTTCCTTTCCTTCCTCGGTTTGACTCGGGGCTCAGGATGTGGATGGCCTGTTGCTTCTGCAAGAATGCAACTCCGAGCCGCAGCTGAACATCCGTTTGGTGCACCACCTCGGGAACGACGAGGAGGATGCAGAGTCTCTGGGAGAGGCAGGGGAGGCCGTTTTTTTGGCACAAAAAGCACGGTCACAGCCGGTCACATTCCAAGAGGTAGCTCGGCAGCTACCAAGAAACCGGCCACATGCAACAAATTAGCATGGGAAGGTGATGAATTAACTCAGAAACAGACTGCTCAAACCTAGCTGCTTAGCTGTAGACTCTTGATTAATGACCCCCTAACTATGTGCGGATTGTAAATTTATATATATATTTATATGCTGAAATATCAAATCACGAGATCTATATACATTCAGTACCATCTGACATCATCTGACCAATTCTCTTCCGGACCATTTGCCACATCCTCGACCAAACCCCCTGGCGCACGGAGCTCCAGCTCCGAGCGAAGCAAGCGAGCGAGCTCGGAGCGAGCTCCAACAGCTCGCTCCAGGTCTTCGTGCGCTTGGGCCACAGCTGCGCACATCCCCAAGGCGACGAAGACGAGGAGACGGCGCCCGCGGAGCCGCGCTTGCAGCTGGCGCCCTGCCACTTGGGTCGGAGAAGAGCGCCGTTTGGGATCACAAGCACCTGAGGTTAGAGATTTTCTGTATTGTTTTCAGGTTTTTTTTTTGGCGGGGGAGCATTCAAAAAGGCTGTATCATGCTACATCATGCTGTATCTATGAAACTGAGGAACCAGAGGTTTGTAGAGCATTCAGTGTTGTTCTGTAGTGATTTCACATGGCAAGTTCTTGTTGGGTTTGATTCGTATGTGGATATCTTGGTGTGTTGCCAAATTGCGCTGGGCTTTCTGGTTGCATTCAATGAGCTACTACTCTGACATTCTCATCGATAGGGAGGTGGTGAGGTGCCCATCAAGGACAGCTTCCGCAAAGTTAAACAATTGGCGTTTTGTTGGCTTCTTTTGGTTGTGGGGGCCATCAGGTTTGCCCGAAGTTCATTCGTCCTGTGTCTCCTGGTTTTGCAGCACGCTTCTGTGCTTGCGGCACGCGACGGCTCAAGGTGATTCCAAGGACCACAACTTCATTTTCCGACGGCTCAAGGCACGGTTTTTGTCCGAATCAGTCAGCGGGACCTTCTTTCGATTGATGGACCCTGAGAAGTGGAAACATGGAAGCTCGAACATATCCTCCCTGAAACAATCAATCATGGAAGTGGAAAACCACCGGTTTGTAGAGGAAAACAGTCTTCCAAGAGGCCATGTTCCACTTCCATTTTTGTTGGAGGGTATCTCAAGCAATAGTTGATGGGTTTCAATTCTGGGGACTGCACAGTCGTGTAACATGTGGCAAGCAACCTAGCGCGGTCGTAGCAACCTGGGGCGTGGAAAACCAAATTAAAGTTTGCCAGGACAGGAATGCCAGAAACGAACCTCGGTCCCGGCAATTGTGCTGTGTCGTGCTGCTCTTGAAATGTTACTCGGACCCCTTGATTGCGTGAAGGATTCCACCTATCATCACGGAAATCGAGTCAACAACTTGGCCCAACAAAGGCATGGCATTTTTCCTGACCCTTTGTCATCCACCTCGTCACCGAAAGCTTGACCCAAAGCGGTTTCTTCACCCGGTTGCTTCTTTTTTGTGTTCCTTTTCCTCCCCCTGCTGCTGCTTTTTGTTTGGGTGTTTCCCCCTTCCGATGATTCTGATGGGAAACAATTGTGATGCAAGGCTTGTAAGTTTCAGCTTTTCTGCGAAGCAGATAGCTAACCACTGGATTCTGCACTCAGTTTCGGCTTATTTCGGCTTGTGCGATGCAAAAAATCAACCTATCACAGGGGGTTTCTTTCAGGCTTGCTGACCTTGATGTGTTTTTGTGTCAAACTATATATGTCACAGCTTCCTGCCAACACTTTCCAGCCTTGTGCCGGCAAGACCAGTGTTTCAAACCTGCAGGCGGATCAGGAGGGCTTCATCTTGGAACACAAGGCTTCCAGGAGACTATCCGTCCCTGAAACATGGTAGTTATTAGACTAGACTCTTCCGCCTATAATTCAAGAATGTAGACTTAGATTAAGTAAACACCCCATTTGAATTGGACATCCTGTTCATAGGGGGGGTTATTAATCAAGAGTCTACACTAGTGGGAATCCTTTGCCACATGTTCTTTTTTTTGGGGGGGGGCACCCTGAAACATTCACCCATCAAGCAGTCAGCATTGCTCAAGAACTTGTAGCGGTAGCTGCTACAATGAGCATTCATCAAAAAGCTGTCCTGAAACCGCCCCGTTGGACATCCCACACTGAACTGTGGCAAGTTGATGTCCTCCCAAGGAGTGGTCCTCACTCCCATGTCCGAACCCATCCGCGGCACCATGATGCGACCCACCAGTCGGACGTCCGATCTCGCATCCCTTTGATGACCCCGTCCACCATCTCGCAGGAGATGCGTGCACCCGTTCGAGGGCCAGGATCGTCCCAGGGAGGGCACCGAGCTCCTCCTGCACTCCGACGCCTGGGTGTCGACCGCGGCGCGGGGCTTGGGGGCTTGCTGGTGGATGCACAGAGGCCTTTTGGGGTTGATATGGTTGATGGATGTACATCTCGAGAATTCTGAGGGCCAACATCTTGATGGACATGGAGGTCTTTTTTCGACGACTTTTGCGGCATGAAGCCCAGCGGATATGGCTGGACAAGGAAAGTGTATAGTATATATATAATATTTAATGTAATATATAATTATATATATATATGTGATATCATTCATTTCGTCGCTTATAGGACTTTGTCCTTCACTATATAGTTTGGCTCCAAGCTCGTGCCATGAAGATAGGTCCCTGCAAGACCGCTTCCCCCTCCCAAAACCCAGGATGTTCAGCTTTTCATCGTGGCTCTTGGACCTTCTTCCGTTGCTCTTTGTCTCCTCCGGCCGCCGAGGATTGCAGCACCGGGCGCAAGGCCTTGACCTTCCGATCGGAACTCACCAAGGTGATTCAAGCTGCACCTCGGGAGCTGATCCGGGTGGAATTGGTCCGACCAGCTTTTTTGTGGCGTTGGTTTGAAAGTAATATGTTTTTCCTACCATGACCATGCAGGTTTTTTTGTTTTGAACTAACAGTAGTACCCAATGTAGCCCTCACAGCCGGGCTTTGTTTCAGTGCCCGTGGTGTGTGTGTGTGTGCCCCTTGTAGTCACAGGGATTCTTTTGAATTGTTTTCGTTTTCGTTTTGTTTCAAGCAGGGGGGCTGGTTGTTCATGCAAGTACCAGCCCAACGAAGAGGCTTGCATTGAACACTGATATCGATGGGGACGCTCACCGACGTACCTGCTTCCTTTGAAATTTTGAACTTTCTTGTAAAGGGCTAATGCAGCTGCAGTCACGCACGGAACGTCGTCACTTTGTCGGATCGGCTTCGCCTCGCGCCCGGCTCTTTAGGACTTTCCTGGACCTTTCAGGATTTGGGTTTCTTAGGCAGGCGTGTGGCACCGCTGTCAAGTCAGTACGCATATCCATAAGTGTGTCTCTCCCAGTGAGAGTCCGGGATGAGCCCGTAGAGTGCCTCCCGTGGACCAGTCGAACGGGTGTCTGTCGTTATCTCCCCTGCCTGGAGATGTACGTGTCCGGAGCGGACAGCAGATGGCTCATGCCACAAGAACTTAGATGTCATTTTTAGAATTCCAAGTTGGCTCATGCCTTTACGTGACCGCAGCGATCAAGGCAGCCAGCCATTTCGGCAGGGCACAAGGTGACCACAGCGGTCAAAGCCAATTTCCGGTTCATTGGAACCTGTCCCCACCTCAGGTGCACACACAGCGCTTACATTCAAACGAGGCAAGTCCCTAGGTGCTTCTAATGAGGCTTGGTCTCATTGGTTCTCGTCCCCTCCATTTGGTTCCCCTTTCATCCCTTCCCCTTCACACACTTTTGTTCCCTCTTTTCTTTCATGTCCTCCTGTCTTCATGTCTGTTCATCTCATCCTTTTCTTCGTTTGCGTGGACATTGGTCCCGGCCTTAGTGTGTACGTGCACTTCTACATACCTTTAAACACAGGTTTCAGGTCGCCCAGGTCTTTACAATGAGGTGGGCTTCATCGGGTGTCCCTGTGCACTTGGTTCCCCTTTCATTTCAACCACACGCACCTTTGTCCCGTCTCGTCTTCCTGTCATGTCTTCATTCTTTTGTCTTGTGCGCGCACACGTGCACATTGGCCCTCACCTTAGCTTCACGCCTCCCCTCGGGGAGGCGTGTCTGTGTGTGCCCCTTGTAGTCACAGGGATTCTTTTGAATTGTGTTCGTTTTCGTTTTGTTTCAAGCAGGGGGGCTGGTTGTTCATGCAAGTACCAGCCCAACGAAGAGGCTTGCATTGAACACTGATATCGGTGGGGACGCTCACCGACGTACCTGCTTCCTTCGAAATTTTGAACTTTCTTGTAAAGGGCTAATGCAGCTGCAGTCACGCACGGAACGTCGTCACTTTGTCGGATCGGCTTCGCCTCGCGCTTTGGGCCACACTTCCTTTTGAAGACCCCCAGGCTCTTTAGGACTTTCCTGGAACTTTCAGGATTTGGGTTTCTTAGGCAGGCGTGTGGCACCGCTGTCAAGTCAGTACGCATATCCATAAGTGTGTGTGTTCCGTAGGAGCAGTCTTGCTGTTGTCCTGATGCCTTTCAGGGCTTGGAGATGATGCTAGGGTAATGTGTTTACAGATGTTGGGCCTCTCTTGCATGCAAGTGTTTTGCTGAAACAATTGAATCTAAGGAGCCAAAGGCACCACCGCTGGTCCCTTCACTTCCGCTGACAGCCCCTTGGGCAGCGGAGTAAGCAGGTGGCGGCTTCTTCATACCTGAGGGACCCTGCTTGACAGCCTTGGGCCAAACCGGGAGCAGTTGTTTCCACCGGACATGGCCCAGGTGCCGGAGGAGGAACCGTGTGAACCCATGGCAGAGCACCCGCAGAGCTCCCGGCCTGGAAAACCGTGTCGCTTGGCATCGCGCATGGCATGGAACCTGTCAATATCCTTTAATTACACGTTGACACTGCGCAATGGTCAACATGCGAAGAACAGTACCTCAGTACATGTCGTAGTCTACTAATGAGTGTTCACTTATTATGTTCCCTTGTGGTTCTTTTTCCCATGAGGCCGGTGGTGAGAAGTATGAAGTCCCTTCATGTCCCGCAAGAAGCCATCAGAGACCGAATCCGATTCGACCACGACCACGACTGGTCAGACCCACACGTCACCGGATCGACATGGCGACCGTAACGAATCAGCCCAACACCCCTCGACCCAACGAATCTTCGATCCAGCCCGGTGGATCCTGAATAGAATGAGTGGGAAGAGAAGCCGCGGCTCAATGTACGTACGAGACGCTATTAGGACCGCGGGGTTCATCTGCACACGCGGAACTCCGGATCGTGTGCACATGCTCATGCCCGCGAATTCTCGCTGCGAAACGACCATGTAGGAACAGACCCAGCCGGTTGACTTTTCGGGAAAACTTGCGACAGATCTCTCTTCTGAGGCTTGCCACCAGCAAAGGTCTGGCCCTACAAGGCTGGTTGATTAGCTCGGCACATGGCAGGTATGTTGCACAATTTGCTCTCAACTGGGTCCAAGTTTGGTTGGCAAGTAGATTGAAACATAATGAGTTTCAACCTGCGCCTGTGATTTGGGATAATTGGCGATGATGTAAATCACAATGACTCCTAGTTCGGCTTGCATCCACCAAGCAGTGGCGCTACGGCGGTGGCAGCTTGCAGGTGAAAACCTCCTGGCGCATTGATTTGGGACAGAGGATTTTGAAGGCCGTCACACCACAGATCACTGAGGAGATGTGCGAGGGTGACTTGGAGATAATAGGTGTTTTGTGGGATTTCAAGGGTTCAGAAAAAATCATTCACTTGTCACAATGACTCACAAGTAGACAGAAAGATAACACCCTTTGATCAATACACATCTGACAAGAGCTTCTATTTACAATTGTTCAGTGTTGGTTGTGAAAAACATATTGTTCCTTTGTTTTGCTCATAACTTCTGCAACTAGTTGCAGCATCACTCAATTGACTCAAGTGACGATCCCGGTGATTCCAAATGATCGACGAGCCCACGGGTGACTCACCAACCCGGTTCCCCAGGTTTCCACCTCTTCGGAGATGTGACCTGGTGCCAGAAGGCCTTTACGGCACCGCCCACGGCGCTGGTGGGATTGCCGCTTGGTCACACATTGATGTTTCTGCCGTCGCTCGTCACGGCGGCTTCAGCCGAACGGTGCGACCAAACGGTTTTGGCGTGTCCTGACTCGATGCGGTTCGATCATGGTCGATACTTCAACGGCTTGCGAGCACAGACACACTCTGACATTGGTTTTCAGTGAATCAATTCCCAAGCAGAAAAAGGTGAGGGGAACAGCAAGGCGAGGAAGTCAGTTCTATTGAAATGTTGAACAATTGTTGCACTCAGCTGTCAAAACTCGCACGGCTGCAAGTTGGCTGCAATTCGGCGGTGGGAAGAAGGGTTTTGGGGTATTTCGTGCAAGGACCATGAAACCAAGAAACAGCAGGAAAATTGGAGTATTGTCACGAAGCAGGTACATGAGAGTGATCAGCTCTCACTTCCCTCGACACATCATAGCTTCGTTGCGTCATGTAGATGTGTGGAGCCTGACGCCCCTGCATGCAAAACTCTTAGTTACAGAGGTTGACACACGCACGATGCCGCTTTGCGGCGCTCGCGCGGTGGACCTGAATAGGCAAGAGAGAAAGGTAGGAGTAGAAAAAGTGAATACTTAGCCCTTGACGGGGGTAGGGAAACGAGCCTCAAGAACAACCTAAAAAGCCTGAGAGAAAGCCCAACAAACGACCAAAAGCGCAAGAAGGAAAGTTGGGGGGCAGGGAGGTGTATGTACATGTGTGTGTCCGTGTGTGTGTATGCACTCTGAGAGTTACTGAATACTTAGCCGAATGAATTAGATGCACTAGTTAGGGAGCGGGACTTTCGTCTTACACCGCCCGGGTAGAGTAGACTAGAAAAGGGACAACAGAGGGAAAGGCACCGACACACAAGTGTGCTGAGTACCATTTGCCTCTGTTACCCTAATTAAAGGGGGGGAGGGGTTGGGGTGTTTGGGGTAGAGAACACGTTTGGGTTTATTCTCCGTTGGCCCGGCGGCATTGAAGTCGTAAGCCCGACGGCATTGGGTTTCGAGAGTCCTGAAAAACACAAAATTCAGTGGGGAGAAACCAAAGAGTGGTGGAATGAAAGAAGCAGTTAGTGGTAGTCCGGCATGAAATCAGCGCCCCAGTAACGGCGATCACACCCAGCACCCAAGTGGGACGACTGAGCGGGTCACACTCTGACATTGGTTTTCAGTTAATCGATTCCCAAGCAGAAAAAGGTGAGGGAACAGCAAGGCGAGAAAGTCAGTTCAGTTGAAATGTCGAACAATTGTTGCACTCAGCTGTCAAAAACTCGCGCGGCTGCAAGTCGGCTGCAATTCGGCGGTGGGAAAAAGGGTTTTGGGGTATTTCGTGCAAGGACCATGAAACCAAGGAACAGCAGGAAAGTTGGAGTATTGTCACGAAGCAGGTACATGAGAGTGATCAGCTCTCACTTCCCTCGACACATCATAGCTTCGTTGCGTCAGGTAGATGTGTCGAGCCTCAGGTAGATGTGTCGAGCCTGACGCCCGTGCATGCAAAACTCTTAGTTACAGAGGTTGACACACACACACAGAGAAAAAGGTCCTCCTTGTGCGGAGGGATGCAGTCTTGCAGTGAGTCTTTGTGAATGTCTGTTGTTGTTACTGTACTTGGTTTTGAAGGGTTTCAATTTCCTAGTCTCTCGAACACCGTGATTTCTGTGTTCATTTCGAACGTGATTGTCATGACACTGCTTTGACTAAAGGTACCTCTACAGATAGAAATGCCGTGAAATACCGGCCTGCAGTCTACCTCTTGGGGAGAGCTCTGTCCAAGCGCTTGGTCTAGATATGCTTCAACCGTTGTCAGGTCCTATGGGATTGAAGAGCGGGACATTTGGAGCGAGCTGATGAGCCAGACCCTTGGAGCGAGCTGAGCGCCGGGACCGCGGTCCGTGCGGTTCGTCCCGGTGCCGCCGTCGCTGAACGAGAGACGGCGAGGGAGAAGAGAAGAGGAGTATAGAGATGAATATGGAGGGATCAAAAGTTGTCTGACCATCTTGGACAGTATGGTTAGTAGGGTGGTCCATTTTGCAGGCAGTGGCATGGGGTGCAGGGCGCACGGCCAGGGTAAATTCGGATGTTTTGTGCCATGACTTGCGCCGACGTTTGGTTTCGTTTGCAGTCGTCAGTTGTCCAGGGGAAGAAAAAACCATGCCAGGTGAACAGTGCTGGTTCGGGGTTGGAAGCCTGAGACAACAGAAACATGGTGAGGCCTTTGAACCACCAGTGCTTGGCTCAGGGTGAGCCGAACAAACCAGGCGGGAAGCTGAATGCTTCGGAGGTCCTGGTGTTTTTTCTTAACACATTAGCGCATGGATTCCCAGGACATCCAGCGGAGGTTAAACGGTTAAATACACAGGCAGGCGGTCACCGCCTGTCAACTGTTTGGTCTTAAAATGGCAGCGTGTTTCGAACCGTTCCTGCCGGAATCCAGTTGCTGTGGAACAAAGTGCTGAGAAACACGAATTAAGAACCCAATTGTACCCAATTCCATACCAAACCCTGCATTAAACAGTTCCAGCAACGTTGTTCACGGCGGTATGGCGCAAATTGCCTCAACGGTGCAGCTTGCTACGAAGCACGTCGAGCCGAGGAAGGGCTTGCACACAAAGCTCTATGATTGCTTCATCCCTCCAGACAAGTCCACACCAATCAGTGGCAAAGCACCCAATGGCACCAAGAAGTGCAAGGGTGTAGAGAACAAGCCATGCCACTCAGCGCACGAGGAGCACTCTTTGGAAAGACATAAAAAGAGAGGTTATTTGTTCATGGAGGGCTTGATCAAGAATCAACGCTGGATGGCCGGAACTTATACAACAAGACACAACCATCCTTTTCCTATACATTTGCAGACTCCGAGAGTCCATTCTGGTTCATGAGCAAGAGTTCCAATTAAGAGCGTTGGAGATTTGATGGATCCAGCATGATCCAGAGATGCCCCTTTGTCTCAACGCCTGTGCACCATCTAAGGCTATAGCGCCACCTACGAGAGCTACAGGACCTCAGCATTGTGAATTCGTTTGAGAAGTGCGCGAGCCGGGCAAGAAGCTGGTGGGTGGGTGAGAAGGTGGAGATGGGTCTGATGGTCAGAACCTGTCGGTTGAGACTATCACCAGGCATCACCAGGCACTAGACCAACTCAGAACAAGGCAAGGATCAATGAGCTAGTTTGTGCTTCCTCAAGTTCCATCACCTAGTGAATCCATTTGACCAAATGGCAGTGCCGTGAGCCATGGCCCGAAACATGACAAGGTTTGCGTATTGGAATTGTTGTTCCCCGAAATGTATTGGTGAGCTGCTCTGAAGTGCCGCAGGATTTGCCTCGGGGCAGAGGCCAAAGTTGAAGAAGGAAGGCGCTTCGAGACCTTGCTGCCGCACTTGACACTTCTCCAACATTCCCTTTAGGGAAGTTGCGTTTGTCCAGGAATACCTTAACATGTCCTTTAAGTCTTATCAACTGTTGGGAATTGCTGCATCAGTTTCATCATTTGGGGATTTGCACGCTCCCTGCAAAAATTATGGAAGTGGAACATGGCCGCTTGGATCACCATTTTCTTCTACAAATAGGTGGTTCTCCACTTCCATGATCAGTTCATACATATATATATATAGATAGATATATAGTGTATGTGGTTCGCATTGGCCGAAGGAGCCATTTGAAACCTTCCGAAACCCTGGTGTTTCGCGGGGAAACGCTGAGAAGCAACTACACCTCCACTGGAGCAGCTGGGCCCATTGATGGTTTGAAGACCTAAGGACTCCTTATCCGCCTTTGTCCGTGCACCTTAAGCACCTCGGCATTGGGACCGGTGGCAACTCATGGGTGGCCGATGATACATTAGTTGGTTCGAACCTCCAGCAACAAGCCTCATGAATGAGAGGGTAGTGTTGCTACAAGTAACTTCTTCGCAGACTTTGCTGATGTTTGCCGCCTTATCCCTTCCTCACCTGGAGTTGCACCTGACATACCACTCACAGCCACTTAACGGCGTGATGCCGCAATCCTCCGCGGAGGATTGATACAGAAGGCTCGGAATGGACGGTGCTCGAGCAGCTGATGGAGAGTCCGGAGAAGAGCAAGATCAGGACCCTGCAAGTCGTGGATCTGCCAACGAGTTGAAGGGCAAAACCCCAAACAAATTCATTAAAACATGTTGGAACCGGTAGGGGTGCTCAATGCCCCGCAAGGACATCTTCTTTTGAATAGAAGGAAGACATCGAGATTCCGCTGGCTGCCATGCTACTTCTACAGGCACAGGTGAACACAGATGAACAGGAATTTGCAACCAGTTTTTTTCAGATACCGAACATGTTAGGCACAAAGCAATGAGCTGAAGGTTTTGGAGTTTGATTGGTCAAGGGTTTTTGGATGTTTGTGGTTCAGTGGTTCGGTTCGATGGTTTGTGTGCAGGACTTTGGATATGGAAGTTCACTTCGGCTGGGACAATCAAGGAAACCTTGCGCACACGAGGAACCTTGGTGATGTCAAAAGTGAGCTAGGAAGACTCCAACGTCGCCCAAAGATGCCCAAATGATTTTTCCTGATCCAGACGGGAGGATTTTCATTTGGAGCAGCATGCACTCTGTGATTGCATGTTCCTTTCACTCAACCTACAAGTCATGCATAGTCATGCCATACTTAGCATCGCCGGGGTTGGAAGTTATGTGTGTTGCTCACGGCCCTTGGCGAGACTCATTCGTGTGTCACTCTTGATCAGCTGCATGAATTGTTCCACCAACCAAGCAGGAACGTGCCACACACAAACTCGAATTCCTTTTGTACCTGCTGCATTGGCCATTTTCAAAACTCTCAACACAGTTCCGTGGCCTTAACCTTGCACTGTGCCGTCATGTGCCGTGGTTTCTGCAAGCAGGCAGTGGATGAGAAAGATAACGCTCACAAACATTTCAAGTACAATAGTTTGTCCTTTCACATGTATGTCGCAGCTGGACTATTGGCTGGCCCTCAAGACGGGCAAGCCGCTGAAAGATGAACCTTATCCACGATCAGATTGGGACAAATGGACCCTTTTTATCCCTAGCTGATATTTACTCTAGCTAGATCAGGTAAATATAACAAAACGCATCCAAAAGCAACTGTCATAATAAAGGGTGTCATTCACATTTTTTATCATTATATAGCGGATTGCCATTCCGCTGAGCCTTCGTGTTGAACAGCTCAGGAAAATGTCCAAGAAGGATTTGCTCGCTGCGCATGTTGCCATCATTGAACGCCTCGCAGAGGATTTCGCTTGCACAGGTGCATTGCAACCCAACCAACCCGACCTGGCTGCATCATATGAAAAGCTCCCAGCTGGGTAAGTGTGTTTGGTGAAGCACCTGTGGAAGGAGAGCATTTCTGCGCTCATGCCAATTGAATGTAAACAAATATGTATACATATATATATATATGTATATTATATATGTAAAATTATGTAGTAAACATATACACATGTATAGAAGGTAAGGTAAGGTAAGGTATATTATGAAGGTAAGGTAAGGTAAGGTAAGGTTTGTCTGTCTGTTTGTATGTATGTATGTAGGTATGTATGTATGTGTTTGTCTGTCTGTCTGTCTGTCTGTCTGTGTGTTTGTTTGTTTGTCTGTCTGTCTGTCTGTCTGTCTGTCTGTATGTATGTATGTATGTATGTATGTATGTGTATGTAATAGTATGTAATAGCATGTAATAGTATTATGTATTTAACTCGATTGAACAGAAAACACGTTGGACTGTTCATTCTGCTCCTCCTGGAAAGACAACCAGATTGACATTTGGTCACCCTCCAACTGAACGGTTTCAATGACGGCATCATGCAGGTTCGACCCTGGAGGTGTATCGGGAAGGCTGGAATCCCAAGGACTGGAGGGCGAAGCAGTCGAACGTGTCCGCCTTTTGGAAGACTGGTGACGGGTGCTCGAGCTCCCCACTGCATGCGGTCCATTTTGGAAGAGGTATACCTCCTTGCCAAACTTGGCGTCGCTGGGAAACAACGCAGGGTGTGAACGAACGGAGCAGCTGTTCGATCGCGAGCAGTTGGCAAAGTCCGAATTCGGTCACTTGAACCTTTGAGATTGTCCCTCTGAACGCGGAGAAAATCGTCGAACACTTGCACTCTGCTCTTTAGAGGTGTGGGTTAAAGCCATATGCTATGCCAACGAAAAACAGGTCGTGAATCTGGTGAATAGGGTGCAAGATGGTGCAAGTATGTATTGAATAATTTTGAATACTGAATACCGATTTGGAGACCACCATGTTTCATCCCGTTTCCGTGCAGGACTGCCCAAAGTCTGGCTGTCCAGAGCCACCAGTCTACTTGCCTGGCGGCTTTAGTGTGCCCTGGACTGTCGGACAGTAGTGGACCAGAGGAGAGCGGCGGATTCTTGATGGCCAACCCAGTTTGGCTCCAACTAATGAGACTGTCAGAGTCCTACAGAAGTGCCCGCCACACCAGAGAGGGGGGGAACTTTTCCGTGGGAGCAACGCGTCCGAAAAGAAGGGAAGAATGAGATGTAGGGAGCAAGGAGCTGAGGATATCCATTGAGGTTGCTAAGCTGCAAGTGTTGTACAACAAATGAAGCCAAAAGTCTGGTTCCACTGACACTACACTTCGTGCCACACAATCAGTGCTAGGAGAGAGATGAGAGAGGAGGAAAGACACAGGCCCTCTGACCACCCCCTTCTATGTGTAGATTGTTTGAGGTTGAACTTCCTCAGTGCAGACTCTGACCTTGAGGTTGAAATGTTTGCAGTGAGCTTTGTCAACAAAGCCATGCTGAAGTGATCCAAAAGATGTGGCTGCGAGACCGTCCGTGACGCCCTGGTTGATTTTTGTTTTGTCTTTCACCGCAGGGTGAAGAGGTGTGCCACCCGCAACGCCAACGTCCCCATTGCCTTGCGATCAATGGAGCTCAGAGATGAGATTATGAACAAAGTTTTGGGCGAGACGAATGTTTCTCAAGCGACATGAAGCTCACAGCCGATACACATTTTTACAAATGCAAAAGGATCAAACAGATATTTCTTGTTGGCATCCTCTCATACTTTTGAGCCCAGCTGTAGGCAAGGGGCCTGTAAATATTCTAAAATTGGTTGCTAAGAACTCAAGCTAAGACATACCGCAGACTCAGCCCAAAACTTTCCATCACCAAGGGCACGGTCAAAGGATTCTCAGGCAGCTTACTACTTGGAGATGCCGAGAATCTCGGGTCTTCCGTCTTCAGACTTTCACTTCCTTACAAGACGACTTGCCCGTGAATGTGCGCCAGCACGTGTGCCGGCAGGCCTCTGCAGCAAGCACTTGGTTGGCTTCCGTGAGCCATTGGTGCCAGGCGCCCGTCATGAGAGATGTCGTCGGGGCGGTCGTCGGTGCAATGTCATCCGTCGATGGCATGGGTTGTTCTTCAGTCGGGGCAGGGCCTGGGCCTCAGCGGCCTGGGTTGCAACACACTGTATGCAGATACAACTGGGGTAGTCCGCAGACTATTCTGTCAATGCTCACAGAGGTCTTCACGGGTTGTATGCTTTACCTTCATGTTTAGTACTTGTCACCAAGTACTTCGAACATGTTTGGTCACTTCAAAATTCAGCAAGCAAAAGATTCTTCGAAGAAGCTTTGTGTGATTTGCTGACCCGTTCGCGGATCTGGTCCAGGATGTTTGGAATGGCATCGGCGCCAACCACGCGCCGGGCATCGGCGGAATCATTGAGGACGGTCAACCGACAGAGTCACAACCGACCATGACTTTCTCGTCAAGGGTTGGGGGCGCGGCCAGCGCGGCCGCGGCAAGGAGAACAACCAAGACTTAAAGCCTTATGCATTACAATCATCGATCTGAATCCAGGTTCACAGTGTTGCAACCTGTGAGGAAGGCCTCATTCCGAATGCACCACATGTTCGATGGGATTATCCGATAATCCAGTGTGACGCTTGGAATCCAAATACCTCATGGCATCTCATGATCCAAACGTGACGGTGAGCTCACCCAGTGGCCTTTCCGTTAGGTGGCCTCACACCTACAATCTGGGAAATGTTGTTGGGATGGACAATGGTGCAAACCGCTTTTGAATGCTTTTGAGGTTAGTTGCCATTGACCTTGCGAGCACTTGATGTTCGATTTACTTATTTATGTTTTCTTCCTCCCAACTTAAAGAGGCTGGGAAGTATGTGTGAGTGGCTTTAGCCTCCTATCCAAGCAATGATGAGGAGGAGAAGAACCCGGTCACAACTCCATACTTCCAAGACCAGGTCCCATGCGGCGGCCACTCATGCAGGATAGCTTCATGGGCTTATTGGCCTCGGTGGGACAGGGAGAGTGGAGAGCAGATCTGCGGTTATCGGCATTGGCCGCAGCAAGGGTGAGGAAAGATAGGAAAGGAGGCACCGCACAATAGTCCAAATGCTATACATGACTTCCCACATTTGGTGTTGAAATGAAATTGAGGTGCAATCCTCCAACACGCCAAGGTTTTCATTTCGGTTGGAGGTCGAGTTCTGCAGAAAACCATTGGAGATCATCAGAGATGGTTTGTCGGAGCCCTCCTCTGTATACCACAACAAGGACAGGGTTGCTGCGCATGCCCAGGGTAGGCATTTATTTGTGCATGATTGTTTGGGGGTGCACCTGCGTTCTCCAGCTCCCAAAGCCACGATCTATTTAGCCTATAGACCCCCTTGGCCCGGCCGGGCGGCAAGCCATGAGTAAGACCGAACTCGGGGGGGGGGGAACCTGGCCAGACAAGTGGACTTTCCTGTCAGCAGGGCTTTGTTCGCTCCAATTTCTGCCAGATAGTGCTTGTGAACTTGCTCTTTTGTAGCCTTTGTGTCGGATTGTGTGGGCGCGGCGTCCAGGTGTCTCTATTCTCCCTGTTCCAGATGGCCTTTCTCAAGCGGAAGTCCAACTCCTTTAGCCCAGAGCCTCAGCCGGAGAGGATGCTTACAAGCCGAGTTCAGGGGTCTACACATGAACAGAGCTTTTATCGAAGTGGGGTGTTTACGTATATATAATATGTTTATATGCTTTTATGCTAGAAGGTGAAGTAGCACACACAGAGATAGATAGATAGATAGATAGATAGATACATAGATAGATACATAGATACATAGATACGTATACGTATACATATTAAGAGCATTTAGCTGGGCCACAGCTTGTGATTTGCTACTGACTGCGTTGACTGGTCCGCTCGACTCACCGCGCCGATCCTGCAGGTGGTTTGATGCACACTGCGCCAGTGAGCTCAGCGGTGTCGCGGAGCCGATGGCCAAAGAGTTGGACGAAACCGGAGCAGATCGAAGGAACTAAAAGCGATATCTTGTTACAGGTGAAATATGTTGCATATGATCTATTTTAATACTAATATATATATATATACGTATGTATTTACTATTTGTATAATATGCTTGTTATAAGTTATACATGTTATACAGTAATCACCAATTTGCATCAAATGTACTCCAGCCATGTTTGTTGAAGCTGGGGTTGTATTGATGGCCGATTTGTGCAGAAGAGGGCCGCTATTGAAACGGGAAACGATGGCCATCAGATTCGCTGTTGGGGCTGAGCCATGGCTGTGCGCATCCAGAAGTGCTCCGGGTTTCTGGGCAGATGGATTGGTCATGCTCATGTAATGTTTGGTGAATCTAGCGCCATCCATCCACTATAATGACTTTACAGTCCTATAACCTTTGGGACCATGCCTTTTGAACGTCATGCATTTCCGCCATGTTTTGTGTGAGCCTAAGCAACACCCGTCAGCGCCTGACCTTGCTGTTCTTGCGACCACTGAGGACCGGTGCGATGCAGATTGGTATTGTTCTGTACGCCATAATCGAGGACCGCTGGCCGACGTTCCAAATCAATGTCATCACGAAAGGTAGCTTGAGCTACCTGAGTTCTCCTTGCTTTAGCAAAAATGTATTACAATCAGGAGTTGGGATTGTGCATTGAGTTTGGTCCTGTAAGAGTGGGGGGGCCCCCCTGGATCAAATCCCCCCTGCGCCGGTTCACGCCGTCATGGACTTTTACCAGGGTTGCTTGTGATTGCCTGCTACCTTTCGTTCACCCCCTCCTCTCTCAAGTGTGTTTTCAGGAGCGTCAAGACCAAGCAGAAACGTTATAGATATAGATAGCTGCATAGCTTGTACAAACTGGATATTGGTTATTCTGCCAATAAAGAAGTGCCAATTTATCGGATGTTCATTCATGTTCGTTCAGAAGTTTTCTCGGGAGTATTGACTTGTAGTGTTGACTTGTTGACCGCAAGAGAACCCAATCCGGTAGGCCAAAGGACCTCATGGGACGCAACATGACGCAACATGGGACGCCCTGCAGCGAGCGATTAGACACAGAGGGTCAATCCTGTTCACGAAAGGATTTGTTGTTGGTTGGGTGTGGTGTGCAATATGTTTTGTGCACCTAGTGACCTAGTGTTTGGAAAGACCGGTCCAGATGACGTAGTGTGCTTTTTCCCAAGTCATGTCATTTGTAGGCACGCAAAGTTGTTTCATGCAAGAACTTCACGTGCGTTGCCACCTTAGCGCAGAAGCGTTTGCTTTGCAAATGGACTTTAGCAGACACAGTAAACACATAAATACAAACTGTTTGTTGATGCTAGGAACACAATGTTATTTCGAGCAAGTCTACATGCGTACGCAGGCCCAGGCGATTACATGTTTCGCTGCAATCTAACACCCAAGCAGCTCCATGTACCGAACATTTACCATTGACCCTGAAACCCCCCCCAGTCCCTGTGTCAATGTTGAGATAGATAAAATTGCCAAAGCAACCTAAATATTGCGGAGCATATAGTCACACACCCGTGTTCTCATGAAGCAGTCATTGACAAATGGCAAGAACACTGGCCGACCGAACTCACAGCATGATCCGGAAAAAAAACTAAACATACAAAAACACAAAATTCGATCTTCCGTTTACGCACCTTGAGCCAAGATGCACCAAGAAATCCTTTGAATCTGAACGCTTCCGTAATCTATTCATGGCATTCAGCCATACATTGAGCCTAAATGGTGCATGGTCTTCAGCCCCTGATGCCTCGCAGGAGCGGTGCTTGAGGGAGTCGCCAGGTGGGGCACAAGTTGTGTGGGCAAAATGGCATATCTCTTGACAGAAGAGGCCTCAGAGAGGTGAAGCGGAAGGTATTGACCAAGAATCTGCAAGAGGAATTGACAAGCCTTGCTGAAGAGTGTGATTAGCCTGGTCGAATGCTTCTCAGGAATAGGTGGGGCCCCCACACTACGTCCAATACATGCATAGAGCTGCCTGTATGCATGTTGTTCTAGGAGCCTCACCCTAAAAAGGCTCGCAGACTCCCCTCACTGGTACCATCTCTCACTCCATGCATCAGCTTACGATTTTTGTCAACGACGTAGTGTGCACTATAGAGGAGGAACCAAGAGGCCACCAAAGATGCCTAGGTGAAAGAGGACGTACACACACTTGTTATCCCTCTCACCATTGGCAAGCCCACCGCAAATCTTAGCACTCCCGAAATGGACAGGTTGTCTACTTTATTGCATGTAGACGCTACCTGCCAAAAAAATCTGAGCAACAGACTAAAAATCGACAGCAATCCCAAAAACGATACCGACCTTAAAAGTTCCACCCAGGAGCCCCCTAGTATTGCCTGTCACTCATATATACATATACATTTGCACCCACCAAACGCGGGGGAGCAAATCCATCGATTGGAGGTGTGCTGTGGGCGGTGTCCACGTGGATCATTTTCATGGTCTCTTGGCCGGAGAAACGGAATGAGAGGGAGTTTTTAGACAGGGTTCAGACACAAAGTAGGAGCTTCCAAGGATAACACATCTTCAGTTGAAGATTCGCGCGGGAGTGTTCATCCTGAGAGAGTTCAAAATGAAACCAACCGAGAATCTAGCTATGTTCATTTAGCCGCTTACAGCTTGGTTGCAAATAGTGCCCCTGCACCTTTACCCAGAGAAGGTACCCGCTTTGTGTATGTTCAGCGGATTTCCAGGTGCGACTAGGCTTGTCGCCACTTATGGACTAGGCTTCCAGCTGCGTTTCCTACGTGAAGAGAAGCACATGTGTTTAGGCTGCTGAAGGACCGGTGAACGCACGTCCCCAGGTCAACAACATCACCATGTGGCCTTTGTTGAAGTATTTCCGAGGGCCCGAGGCTTTGACGGGCTGATACGGGCTGTGCTGAGCCAACGGTGCTGAGCCAACGCACCCACAGAGCTCTTGGTGCTTTGAGGATGGGCAAACCTGGCGGAACCTCCATGGACATCCAATCCGGGTTGGTGTGAACTACAGTGGCACAATGCCATGACTGCCATGACAGGGGGCCACTGAAGAAAGGAGTTACAGGAAGCATTGCCCCACCAAAAAGTCTTCTGACAAAAACACTTACAAACAAGCTGTAAGTAGATATAAGTAGCATAAAAATACCTCCTGTTCAGTCTTTCATTCAGGAGTGCTGTTTGATCTATTCCGAATTGAGGGTCGTGGGCGGCATCGGCTGCAAGAAATCTTTGGGACGACCGGCTTGGTGTGCTCATTTCTGGCGATGACGCATCAGGGATTCTCATGATACTTTGTTGTGCTGCCGTTTAGAAACGGGCAGGTGCAGCGAGTGCTCTTCAAGTTGGCCTATTCCTTCATCATTTCCTTCCAAGGCCGGTTTTGTCTGTTTTTGTGTCCTGTGCCTCTTAGAACTAGGAGGCCCTCAAAGAATGCTGGGAAAGGAGCAACCCATTGGTCAGGGTTTCATTCTTTCTGTACTGGCTTTCTGTCTTTGGGGGAGAGGTGATGCAAAAGTATTCAATTATAATGTGATGATCTATGGTCAATTCTTGACAATGGGGCAATGGGTGAGCTGCAGATGGCAAATTCATCCTCAATGGACCGATGCTTGACCAAGGCATTCATGCTGTAGCCCGGAGCTGAGTGGAAAGGTCGCGCAAAGAGAAGGTCCCCCTTCAGGGTTCGTCTTCGGAGGTGGTCGTCAGATATGGGGATGGGTCCAGACCTGGAGCCCCAGCACCATGTAGCTTGACCTCATCCTGGCTTTTGACCCACAGCCATGTGAAACGCCGAGGCTTGGTCGTATCAATATCCGTGGCTCTACTGGGTTGCAGCTCGAATGCACTCACCGGAGCGCGGATTTCATGGCTGCAGCAATTTCAACGGTAGCAGAGAACGGCCATGAGGAAGAGGAGCATTGGCTGTGTCTATTTGTGGGCGTGGGGTTGTAGACTCCAGGAAAGGAAGGTCAGACAAGAGAAGCTGGGTAAAGCGAAGAAATGCAAGAACTGATGATTTGATCATTCCCCCAGCAAGAAAGGGCACGCCGGCCTCGGCCAAGGTGATGCCCTATTGGTTTTGGAGCGTCAAGAAGCTCTTTGAGAGTCTCGATCTCAGCTTTTCTTCGAGCAGTCCAGTCGTCAAGAGACTCCAGGAAGTCGGTGCTGATCCAAAACCAACCTCACCAGCCGGCTATATAGTTACACATGTTTAAAGAGTAGTTATATAAAAGACAATTCAATAGATGACTCCTATCGTAAGAGTATGCGAAAATAAAAATAAGTAAGCACTACTACGTTTCCGTATACTACTCTTTTGGTTTGTTTACACCAATTCGTTCCAGGTTTTTGAGACTCGATGTCTTGCTCCGGTGGATGTTTATTGCAGTTTATTTCTCGACAGGGCCACCCGTTTGACCCGAGACTTGTTTCAAACGCCACATGCCCACTGGCTCAAGTAGCTTTCCGCCCAAATTCACACATGAGACTTTGCACTAGCTGATATTTCTTCCACCCAGCTGGAGAAGGGCAGCTCCGATCAGATGTTTATTCTCCATGATCCGAAGCTTTGGGAAACACACACTCTGATGACTGCCATTGGGCCTGTGGAAGCCATGCAGGCGCAGGGTGGGGCACTCTAGGAGGACTTGGAGGAAGCGGGGAACGGTCACATCCTGAATGGTTGGAACTCTCCACAGACCGGTGGTCATGGCTGCTGACGTCGGTGTTCATGATGGTTTCTGGTACCCCCCCCAACTGTGAGCGTAGAAGAGCATCATGCTCAATCAAACATATTCCTGCACGTAGTTCCCCCACTACATCCCACTATGTAAACACGCCCTGCCGGTGTGAAGAGCATGCCGGCACCTTACCACGCTGGAATGGTTGACAAACTGTCCTTCAGGAGCCCAGTGGTACGAAGATACCTTTACTTCGCTTATATATTCAGTGTGCAGCACCTGCTTGGAGGAACAGCAAGCTTGTCATGCGGGGGAGGTAGTTGAACAGTTATCAGCCTCCTCAGCAGACATGGTGGGACTCCTACCCGGTCGACTGGTCGAGCCAGCTGAAACTCCGGAAACCAAGCGATGTTAGGCTTCACCCGACGGTTTTTGGAGAAGCTGGTTTAAGGCTTCAAGATCGGCAAGAGATTGTTGAACATCTTTTTTGCATATTTTTGCGGTTTGTGTCTTTCAGAATATGTCTTCGCAGAAACTCGGTCGCTCTTGGAGTAGAGCTTGCACATGCATGCATGTGTGGAGTTTACATATATACTAGTATACTAGTATAGTTTAAGTTTAAGTAGTAGGTTGTCTTAATACTTGGGATCTAAGGCTTGGTGCTTGTTGCGTGCGCTGCCCCAGCACTTCTGACTCCTAAACGCGAACAGAGCCTGATACCACCTCATCAGTGCTCAGTGCGTTTGATGGTGGGAAATCGCACCTGGTTTGAAGGTACAAGGGTCAGTGAAGGGCCGCTGTTTAGATGTAGTTTGGGCTGTATGCCCCAAATCGATCCAGCCTTCCAGTCCTTCCAGCCTTTGGGCCTCTCGCTGTTCCAGGCATGTCGAAGCATGTGGCAGGGCTTCTGGAAACTGTTCCAGCCTTGGAGGCTCCGTCCTGGCCACCCCGACACCTCATCGGTGAAATGGCACCTCAGTCCAAGGGGAAGGGGGGAAGGGCGGTGGGCTCCCTATGCATTGCGGGAGTTGATCAGATTGTTGGCAAGGCAAGTGGTGAGCCTGGGGTGGGTGCAGAATGGGTCCTAAGGACGTTGGCTAGCCAGAAGTGTTGGAAGGACCTCGAGCCAAGTGTTGTTGAGGCAGACGGCACCGTGCGGTTTGATTCGGACCCACCGGTGACCCACGGCCCTTCGAGGCTGCAACCACTGAAAGGGATGAAGATGGAAGAGGACGAGGTCCGGCCACATCCGACGTTCAAACCGGTGACTCTCCGTGGGTTTGGGGCCAGGTGGACGAACCTGCTCCGTGGCCACAAGAGACGGATTTGTCCCAGTGGGACTGCCAGTGTGCCTAAATGGCCTTTAAATGGCTGAATGATATGCCGAAGATGATGTGCTTGTTTTGAAGTAGGGCTCCTCCAAGCATGCTTACATCCACCGCCGCAGACCCTGCGGGGCAGCCTACCACATCGAGACTCTTGGTGTCGTTAGTTTTGTTCGTTCGGCGCGGCACACGGTGTGGCGGAATGTGTACCAAGAGCCCCGTTGAAAGAGCATACGACTTGACAATAGGAGACTTCCGTGTTCGAAGAGCAACACGAGTCCAGCCATTATAAACCATCCAGCAGGGTAATTAAGTACTTATGCACGTGCCTAGTCAACGCAGCTGGACACTGGATGATGGCTGCAAGATGCTCAGATGCTCCGATGATTTCCCTTGCGGGTGCGGGGCCATTAGCTTTTTTGACGAACAAATATGAACGGTGACAGGGTGACAGCACAGTATTGACTTGAAAACTGACCACGCCAGACGTCAGGATTTTTTTGCAGATTTACGGATTGTGTATTATATATATATATGTACAAATAAGTTCTATGATTGTTGTTGTTGCCTACCTTCTGATTCATTTCGTCATTCTAAGGATCGAGCTTCCAAGAAACAACCCCACTTCCTGCGATTACGCCAAGATACCAAACACACACTTGAGTAGGTTGCTCCGTGGAGCGCGATTTCAGGCTGCTTC